TGATAACACCTCATTTGGAGTGCCAGCCTCAGTCTACACTGCAACAAATGGAACCAATAGACGCACAACTACTCGACGCTGGAAAGACATGAAAAGTGCCTTAAAACGTCACATACAGTTACCAAGACATCAGGAAAATGCAAAAACTTACTTGACAAGGCAGAATTTAATACCCTCATTCATAACTTCGGATACAGGGGCCGGGCTTAACTTGATTAGAATGGTGTATGAGAATGTAAAATCCCAGAGATCATACGCAAGTTTCCCGCTTTCGGTTGCAGCACGTTACCAGGAAAAAACCAATGTTGGGTTTCAAAATCATTCCCCTGCATTTCCACCTAAGATTATAGATTGTGGATATGACTTACTTCTCGGGAGGTTTCAAGCTTACTTATCCTCACTTACGCCATTTGGGACAGTTATAACTTTTGGTATTTCCTGTGATAAAGATAAATCTCAGAGTAGGTCAAGGCAACTAGCTGGTTTTCGTTTTCCTTGCTTCGATAGTTCGTTATCCACCCCTTTCATTAACTATGTTTACGTTGGACATCCAGCATGTCAACAGTTTGACGGGTTCTATCTCTCAACGAAAATAAAAGAACAGTTGACTCAATACGGAATCCTGAATACCCAGTTTACAGAGGGCTACTCTGGGTCAGCTTATGACGGTCAATACCTAAACTTGAAACTTCACGATCATTTGAGAGCATCTTACGGTATAAATAGCGACGACCCTCAAGCAACTGAAGTTTGGGACGGGGCACATATCGTGGACCTCATCTTCAAGCATGCATTAAGAAACTCTTGGGCTGTAGAAAATGTACGTTATATCGTCAAGAAAGTCAATAATATCCTGAAGAATAACATATTTGAGACATATCTCGCCTCATCTCGCTCCATGGGGACTCCGTTCCTGAAACCCAAAACTTTAAAAGATTTAAAGTTCCTAAAACATGGTTTAGACCAGCTAGAAACTTTTCAGAAAATGAAGCCTGTGATAGTTGATGCCCTAACAAATGTTTCAAATTCAACTCATAAATTAGCATCTACATGTAAAGCCTATTTAACTCAAATAAACTGTCCAAGATTCGGCCTAATCCTGTCATTCCTTATAGATGTTATGAAGCCTTTATCTGCATTCAGCCTAAAATTTCAGGATAAGTTCCTCTTTGTTCATCAGTATTATAACCTCACGGTGATGCTGAAGGAGTTTTTGTCCAATATTCATCTTTCCTATGATACAACTACAATGCCTGTGGACCAAAGATTCATTTTCAGTCATTTTTGTCGGACAGTTCAATCTGGACCATCGCAGTACTTTGGTCCTCGTTATTTGCTCCGCCAAGGAAGATTTACTCCTACTACATTCCCAGATACAGTGAGAGCAGCAGTTCAATGTTGTAACCGATTTATTGATCTCCTAAAGAGATATACTCTTGGTTACTGGTTTGCGAATGGGTACTGGAAAGATGATACAAAACGGCTTCTACCAAATTGTGCCGCATTGTTAAACTTCTTGACGGACGACATTGAAGAACAGAAAAAATCATTTATAACACGAGGTCATGAAATGTGTGCTGACTGTGAGAACTTTTACCCTGAAGCTCGCCAAGCCGAACATTCTACACAATGCACCTCTAATATTTGGCTGACAGTCCCGTCTTTATTACCAAATTATAATCCAAACAAAGGTCTGAATTTGGAAATACTTAAGCAGCTCATTCCTTCGAGTTTAAGGCACCACATAACTCAAGTTGCCCTGCATGATTTGAAAGTGCAATTGAACTTAGCAAAGCAAGAAGTAACCCGTCGAAATCTCGTTGTAACCTTTGACCGTGTTGTCAAATGTTTATTCACATCTCGCAGTTACTGGGACAAGTGTCTAAAGGGTGCCCTCTTCCTCTTAGTCAAAGTTATGACTATCCCTACATCAGAGGCACTGATGGAAACATTTGGATCCATAATGGAGACATATCATGGTCGCTTCTCCAACGGCGATCCAAAATTCGATGATACAAGACTGCAGAAAGAGATGTTTTTAAAGCTTAATGGGCCGCCACTGATTGTTGCTGAACCGTTCTTTAAGAAAATCTTGGAGAAATACAGAGCGGAAGGCGGTCACAGGTTCGCTCATGAACAAACCCATTTAGCTAGACTCACTGCATCATCACTTACAGTAAAACGTCTGCAAAGAGAGGCAGCAAGCGACTCAAGTAGAACTGTGTGCATTGAATTTTCGTAAGCGGCTTACTAACAACTATAAAGCATGTGATCGATAAACATAATGTTCGTATAAGGCACTTCACCCTTTCATTCTATTGCTTTTTAAGAGTCAAATACGTTAGCATGTAGAAAGTTCTAATCAGAATAAAGGTTTGTTCATGACCGTTTGCCATGTTATTGTTTTAGAATTATCACGAGATTAATTCATGATACGTTTCATTAATTAATTTTGACGAAATTTCCATTAATAAAAAGTACATTAGAGTTTTTATTCCCTTGTTGACATGTATTGTTTAAATTAAAATCTCTGCTCTTCCACACCAGCTGATCTTGGTCAACGGCGGTCAGTAAAATGTTAATTAAATAAAGTCACGGTTAATTAAATTTACGGTTAATTCGATAATTGGTAAGTAAGACATTTGGAAAGTCTGAGTACGACCATTCGAAAAAGATATTGACCTGGGTTGATACCTGCCACCCCAGTGCGAAATTATTTCAAAGCCAGTAGGAATAATTTTTTAGCCTAAAAACCCAGTAGTAAACCAGTAAATAACAATTAATAGTATATAGTAATATAGTGAATTTTTGACCCTTTTCAGACTGAAACGTTTTTCTTATCAGATGTTTTCTATTCTTCAAAAGTAAGTATTGTTTTCAGAAATTCGCAATATCTGAGGTACAACGTATTAAAGGCCTTTTGTGGAAACATACGTACTCACTGTCTCCCTACTTTTCAAGGCTAAAGGTGCACGGCTTAAACTTCACTTATGACCAATGACGATAAATACAAAATTGAATTCTATGTAATACAAATTCAACCGTGCTCAATCACTCAGTCGATTTTCGAGAATTTTCTAAAAGGGCCCCCGGCAGTTAAAACCAATTTGAATCGATGCATTTTCGAAGGCTGATTCCGAATTACCCTTCATCATGAAGGCTTCATGACATGGGTTAAAATGCTCACATGGCAAGATATAGGGGAAAAACTGTCTCGATCACATGATATGACCGTATAATGAAGTTGGTCTAATTTCTCGTTAGGGTTAGTGGTTAGGGTTTCAGTGTATGCTTTTTAAAGATTGGGTTAGGGTTGGGATCAGATTAGAGGGCTAAAATTTCGAATAGTCATTCAGGGCCAGCTAGAGAACGTGTTTAAAAAGTCCGTGACAGTCGAGTGTAGAGTAATTAATTATCATCATTCATCCATACAACTTTCTGATCGTGATTAAATTTATATTGTTACATGTTATGCCATCAATTTAGTAATTTACATTGCATCAGTTCTAGTTTATAAATATGTTAAGACGCGCAGCTTAAGTCATGCGTTACGTACTTTATTTATCAACGTGCATATGCGTATATAATAATCAAAAAGTGGTACGTGACAAGCTTGTTTTACGAAAAAAGACAATTTCGATTGCCAATTACGGTCACGCGCGCTATTGCAAGTTTAAAAGCTAAAGCTGCCCGGGGTAGGGCTCCACAAATATGATACAACAATAAATGTTTATGGTACCATGCACATGTAATTATTTATTTGTCCATTATTAATTGATTTATGGGTCGTTCACATATTACAAAATACGTTATCATTTATGAATTTATGCTCCAAAAAGTGAAAACGTAATGTATTAATATGTGATCAACCCCTTTAATTAAATTTTTCATGTAATGAAATGGGTAAATATAGCAGCTGCACAATTTTATTTTTCATAACGAGAAACGACTGACTATTATCCTGATGATGATAAGAACAGAGTTTATTTAAACTTGACATACAGAACTTATTGTCCTTGCGTTTTAGATTTTCTATGACAAAACAATAATAGTCCTTTTTCAGCTTTTTTTTGTTTATAAACAAAGTTTTAACGCACAATTCAATTCAATCAAAGGAATATCATCTCTACTCAGTTATCATCTAATCAACGTTAATAAATTATTTTTTCTTTATCTTGATTATAAAAAGACAATCATGATTGAGACTGAAATAGTCATCTTGAAACAACTGATACTTTGCATTGTCTAAATTTGTAACTGTAATTATATACAGTTACAAATTCAGATATATATTACTTTTTTAAACAACACGATAATCTCTATTTTCAAGATTTTACCAAATTATCGAAAATAACCAGACTAATTAATTCCATATTAAGGATTTTAAACAGCAATTTCTACTGACATTACAATCAATCGATAAAGATTAAAGGTTAGGTAGTTATATTATTAAGAACAATAACTAATTACACTCTCGTTAGTTTTTGGGATAATTGGTACAATTTTCTATTCGTTTAATATTATAGTTTACTACTTAATACAAGCAGTTAGCAGGTTATGTTATGCTCTGTATTAAAAAGCTCTACCGCTAAAACACAATTATCATCAAATAGTTTTGTTAAAACTGATGCCTGCTGAAGATTCTGTGATGGTTGTACATGCACAGCTATATCTTGGATCTTGTTATCAGAGTTGTGTGATGAGAAGATGAGTTTGCTCCTTAACACATCCTGAATTGGTGGGTTATTTTTAAGATTTATGAAAGTTGTTACAAAAATTCTGAATCGATGATTATTGATTAATTAATTAATAGTTCAGGTTCCATGAAATGAATTAACTTTTCAACTTTATTTCCTTCAGTTATTTTGTCGTATCTTTATAATCAACAGACCATTTGCTAGTTAATCTAGCTAGCTTTTGACATTATGTACGGCTTAAATTTTGAACAATTGTCCAATCATTCAGTTTACACAGGAGTCCGTCAATCGCCATCAGGCATCAGCACTGCAGACGAAGGAGAACTGGAGACAGTATCGCCACTGGTCAGTACCTATTGGTGACCCTACTGTAATGGTAACGTTCGGACTTCCCTCTCAATCCTGTAAGTTTCACGAGTTAATCTACTTCAAATATTTATTGTACCATTCACACATTACGTTATCGCTTTTTGGACAATTTTTACCCCCTCCCCCCTTCTGTAATCAGTTTTACACATAGCTATTGTGCATGTGTCAAAATGACAGTAGCGTAATCATTTGGAAAACCCCCTCCCGTCCCCCTCGGCTGATTACGTAATATGTGAACGACCCCTAAGTGCAAAAATGGTGCAAAATGTTTAATCGTGATTTATAAAACTTGACAAACTTGTTGCGCAATGCAGCTAACTTAAATCCTTGTGCAACCAATTTACCTAAAAGTTCGGTACGATTTTTGAAACCCTTGAGTATCGAATTACCTCTAGCTTATCATACTAATTGGAAAATAAATATTCCAGACAAATTGTTTGGAAAGTTTCCATCTAAAAAGGAAATGATGTAATTTTAAAGTTGTAATCTTTTCTTTTATCATAAAACTAGAAAACCCGTGGTCACAGGGAGGAAGCTAATATTGATAGTATTTTTTGTTAGTAAGTTTAATCTCATCAAAAAATATCCTACAAAACCGAAGATACAGCCCATTAAAATGTTGCTTGTGCTAAACACAGCGTAATATCAACAAAACCGATCAAAATGAAGTTAAAACAATCATTGCACGTGCACGTAACAACCCTCGTTACCATGGTTACTATGCAACTTCTTATTCCTCGTCTAATTTGCACGTGGGCGGTCGTACAGAAATAATTCTTTGAATTATAGTAGAGATGACACTCTAAACTTCCCTTGATAAAACTAATGTTTAAGTCTAGATAGCAACATTTTCGAGCCGAAATATTAGTATTATTAACTATCACTTCCTTCGCAAAAATATTTTCTGATACATTCTGTAATAAACTAAAATCATTAAAAACTTTCGAATCATCTTGGTAGTTACGAAATGTGTCTTTTAATCTTTTGAGATTTTCTGTATCCCCTTGGCCTTGTTCTATTAAATTATGTTTAATATATTTATACTCGTATACATGTAAATAAACAATAGCTATTTGTGGTGCTGCATTGGTACCCATTAGTATTCCAATGACGTATATAAATTTGCCCTGATAAGTAACATAAGAAATATCTATCAAATACGATCTAATGTGACTGTGTACTGCCTACAGCCAGGGACAAAAGGATTTCGCGATTATTTTGGCCAAAAATCGCGATACTGCAAATTTTAACAGACTATACATTAAACTATACATAAAATTTGTCGCAAATAATGGGGAAATCGCGATTCCGTACATGCCGCGATTTCCTTTTGTCCCTGCCTACAGCAAATCTTATGAACTGATTCTTTCTTAAACTATTGGCAGGATGACAATGGAAATTATTCTGGCTGAATTTTCTGAGTACAAGCCGTTGTTCATATTTTAACTAAACAGTTTGTACATTGCACAACAGCAGTTATTATTCACTATGAAATGATATCAAGTTTAAATCAGATTCACTTACCTTCCAGACCCGAAAACTACAGAACATGGAGGAACCTACAGTTTGGAAACGAAAAGCATTCCTTGTTGAGTTGTTGTACCACACGTTCTTGTAGTTCTAGTAATGAGGTTAGTTAATTATAGTTCCAGTTGTATAAATGTATAAATGTCTCAGTTATTCACAGCGTCAGCATCATATCCCTCTCCCTCTCCCTATCCTTCTCCTTTTCCCTCTCTGTCCCTGTCCCTGTCCCTCTCTCTCTCCCTTGTTAGATGACCGTTAGTTGACCAATAAAACCCGTATTTGTCGTATGTACAAAACCTGTAAAACAAAATACTTCATTACATAATAGAATAACTTTACAACCAAATTAAACCAATTCCAAATAAATACCTAATAACAAAACATTATATAAATACTTACCCCTCTCCCTCTCCCTCTCCCTCTCCCTCTCCCTCTCCCTCTCCCTCTCCCTCTCCCTCTCCCTCTCCCTCTCCCTCTCTCCCTCTCCCTCTCCCTCTCCCTCTCCCTCTCCCTCTCCCTCTCCCTCTCCCTCTCCCTCTCCCTCTCCCTCTCCCTCTCCCTCTCCCTCTCCCTCTCCCTCTCCCTCTCCCTCTCCCTCTCCATCTCCCTCTCCCTCTCCCTCTCCCTCTCCCTCTCCCTCTCCCTCTCCCTCTCCCTCTCCCTCTCCCTCTCCCTCTCCCTCTCCTTCAAAAACACGTTCAAATTTTTCGTACTCCCGGCCCCTCTCCCTTTTCTTCATAAACATGTTCTAACAAATTAGAAATTATTAAATTCTGAAATTGAAATAAAAATAAATAATAATAAAAAAAACTATTCCAACTTACTCCTAAGCTAAGTTGGAATAGTCAGTGCGACAGAATTTATACTAAGGCCTGCCAACAACTTGGTATGGTCAGAAGAGATGGCCATATTGTCATTGATCAGAAACGTCGCCGGGCGCTTTATCTCTCCCTGGTTCGTAGCCAATTCGAAAATTGTTCCATAATCTGGCGCCCTTGTAATAAATCACTTAGTGATAAATTAGAAAGTCTCCAAAAGAGAGCTATTAAATGGATTCTGTCTGAAGAGGGCCGCAGTTATCCACCTGAGCAATATGTCAAAAAGTGCAAGCTTGTCGACATTCTCCCTTTGGCTCAAAAGTTTGACTTGAATGATCTTATTTTTTTCCACAAAGTTCTTAACAATTTAATTCCTGTATCGCTGCCTCACTATCTCTCTTTATATCAGGGCACTTCTCGACTAAGACGTTGCCACCTCGACAGTCTGTCTATTGTGTCATCAATTTTACCTAAGTTAAGTCAGAATTCACACACCACATGTACCTCAAATAGCCCACTGGCAAAATCATTTTTCTACAGAACCCATATACTGTGGAATGGACTCCCTTTACAGGTAAGACAGATTGTGTCTACTAGTCTTTTCAAAGCTGAGGTCACTAAGCATCTATGGAAATGTTTATTGGATAGTGAAACAACAGTCTAGCCTAGTCTCTTTGCTCCCCATATTATTATTATTTTTGTTTTATTAATTTTTGTATCTACCTTCCTATACTTTCAACATCATATCACACTTCACCCGCACACCTTCTCACACATTAATGACCATTTCAGACCTGTATCTAATGTATCTGGAATTTGACGTATTGAAATACAAATTTTGACTCTATATCCACAGTTATTCACCATGGATTTGTTTGTTATTAAATAGTTTTTCATAAATTTTTAATTTAGATTAATTCGATGTAATGGGTCCAAGTTACTGCGGACATAGTTCACTATGTGTTTACCGTGTTTGGGTGCCCATCATATTTTACAGATGGGGGCGATATTTTGAACGATTCTATTTTATATTCATCTATTGCTGTACTCTGTAAAATTTGAAAAGTATTTAATAAAAAAAAAATATTTAAATTACTGCAGTTTGCAACGAGAAACTACTATACGTGTTTTTAGTCAATACTAAAGATTGTCATTTCAGAGTTCCTGGCACGAAAACCTGGGACAGTTCCTTTTGCCCTTCACCCTCTTGGATTTGGTTGTCTCTACCGTTCATTCACACAACGAAACAGTCATGCTGATGGAGGAGGAGTAGAAATTAAAACTCTCCCGGCCAACGTTAATTTTTGCCACCCCTGGTTTTTAGAAAAGACAAGCAATTAAGATATCGGGATATTATGTGCAAGTTATTATTAACATTTATTTTGCAGTTGTTAATCATAATGCAACGTCCAAGCTATAAACATATTTGTAATTTCTTTCCGACATGAAAATCACGGCTAGTTTAGCGTTTGATAATGGATAGTGCTTTAATTTGAAAATGAAATCATTCTAGATATAAAATTTGCCGAGTCTAAATCCTATTTTTAATACGAAAAAAGTGTATCCGCATTACCTATCTTTGTTGATTACGAAAGTGATAATGTAAATATCAAACTTTAATTATTTTTATAAGAAGAAATGCTTGTATTATTTAGTTAGTCCCTAAAACAGCACAGTCAAACCGCAGTTTACTGTTAATGTCTGTTCCATAATCTCTATTTCAGCTCAAATGAACTAAAGCCAATTTGTTCATAATTCTTGGCTTCAGAGGTGTGAATTTTGATAGTTCCACAAAATTAAACAATATGATTTATAATGCATAACAATTAACATATAACAACATGATTTTTATCTGGTTGATGATATCATAAATCTATTATGGGGTTTCGGCTACAAAATATAGATCGTTTGAGATAGCAGCAATAAACTAAAGCAGAATATTGACAGTTAAATCACCAATTTGATCTATGAAGTATCTGTTATCAAAATAGCTTATCATTTAATTGAAAATCACGCACAATTTACTAGAGTCATGTTAGCTTAGCACGCTGGATCATATTACGGACAGTAACACGCCAAGCTTATTTTGTAATAAAATTTCAATGCCAGCATTTACATTGCGCATAACGCGCGCAAATTATTCCTTGGCTGGTCTGAATCGACCAATCAGAACCGTTATTCCCATTATTCCCTCAGATTCCTCCAATCAGAGGCCTGAGTGCACGAAAAAGCAAATTTCAAAGGTATAACCAGCATTTCATTGGAATAACACGCGCATCATTTGGCGAGGTATAAAACTTCCGTTTACTGACTTACTATTTCATTATTAGGGGATGAATCTGCTTCTTTTCAACATGGAATTTCTGCCTGAAACCAGTAGGAATATTATTCTCATATTCCTTCAAATTTCGCACCGGGCCTGCCACCATGGACTATGAATGTTTCTAGACACTATCCTTTTGATATTAAGATATTAGTTTTAAACTAATTACAACACTACAAATCTATTACATTTATTGAGGGATGGAAAACGATGACGGGCAAACGGGGCACACTATTAGTGCCCCAGCCAGTAGAGAACATGTAGAGACGAATGAACAAGCTGAAGAAGAAAGTACTAAACCTGAAGAAGATTGTTTCTGCAAGGAACACATTGAAGATTCTCTATGGATCAGATGTGATTGCTGCATCAAATGGTGTCATCTTGATTGTGTTGGACTGACAGGACTTGACGAGACTCAGGTGCTTTTGATCAAACAATATAAGTGTCCACACTGCATTGTCAATGCGACAACAATGCTGATCAAGTTGAGTGAAACCATTAATGAAACGATTACCAATGCTGTTAAAAACAGTCTGCAGAACGAGTTACCAACAGCAATGGCTGCTGTCAAAAAAGATATAGTCAATGAATCATCTTCAAAAGTGAAGAGCTACGTTGATGCAGCGAAGGTTGACCTCCAGGCAACTATTAGTGACAAGCCACCAACTCAATTAGTTAAGGCAACAGTCCAACAGATTGATGCTGACAAGATCGAACGGATCAAAAGAGAATGTAATGTGATCATTAGACACGTTCCCGAAATGGCTATCAAAGAGAACAGATCTCAAAGCAATGATCTCAAGTTTTTACATGAAATTTGTGGCATGGAAGAAGACGTGATTGTGTCCTGTTTTCGGGCAGGTAAATTAACTGAATCTGGTGAAAGCAGGGAACATCAACCTAGACCGCTGATTGTAAAACTAAAATCAAAAGAGGCTGCATTGTATTGGAGTAACTATGGGAAAGGTTGGAAGATAGAAGTGGATTCTGAGAAAACGAAGAAAGAAGTTTATTGGATCAATCAGGATCTGAACAGAGCTGACAGAGACGTCCAATTTTTTGTGAGACAGGAACGGAGAAAGCGACTTGCAGAGAAAGCAAAGCTATAGAATGCCTAAACCTTAAATTGTTTTATAGTAACAGTAATAGTTTATATAATAAGTTTTGTGAATTGAGAAATGCTGTTTCGCTGTACCAGTCTGACATTGTTTGCATAAATGAAACTCATTTTAACAATGAAATTATTGATGCTGAAATTAGCATACCTGGTTTCAAAATATTTAGAAAAGATAGAGATTTTACAGTTAATGAAGAAGTAGGAGAAAGTTCTGTTAGTAGTGGTGGAGGCTGTATTATTTATATTAAAGACTCTTTGAACCCAGTTGTTATAGATTGGTTTAGGGTCACTGATTCGATTGCTGTTGAATTCGATAGCAACATTGGTAGGGTAAATATTGCATGTATTTATAGATCAATGTCTCTTTCTAAAGCGCAGAACAATGCGATGACCAAAATGATTGCAAAACTAGCTGTTTTTAATGTTGAATCAATCCTAGTTGGAGATTTAAATTTACCAAATGTATCTTGGCTTAGTGGAACTGTTAATGCTCCTTTAGGAACAAGTAATAAGGGTTTAATTATAGAAAAGAATTTTATGGAATGTGTACAAGACAATGGCTTGGTTTGGTATATCACAGATGAAGTTACCAGACGTAGAGTTGTCAGCGGTAAACTTCAAGAGAGTACACTAGATCAGGTTCTCTCTACAAACGAAGCTATTGTCAATGAAGTAATGATTGTCTCCCCCTTGGGGAAGAGCGATCATGTTTGTTTTAATGTAGAATTAAATCTAAGTCTTAGTAACAGTAAGCAAGATGATGAGGCTGCAAAGGAGCCTAGAAAGTTATGGGGAAAAGTCTCTGGCAAAGAATTGTTACACAGATCAGCTGAAATTGACTGGTCTTTTAGTGAGGGTACTTTAACTTCTGAAGATATGTGGAGTGAGTTACACTCAAAGCTTAACTTAGTATCTGATATAGTTCCGACGGAAAAGAACTTTAAATGTGAGCCTTGGGCAAATTCATCCTTAAAAAGATGCAGGAAAAAGACAGATAAATGTTGGTATATTTTTGATAATAATCCTTCTTCTGAAAATCTTAATGTTGCACTGAACCAACAAGGACAGTTTGATAGTAAGTCATTTAAGTGTAAAGTTAATTATGAAAGAAAAATTACACAGTGTATGAAATATAATACGAAGCCATTTTATGCATATTTAAGAGGGAAAAGAGTGTTAAAAAGTTGTGTATCATCCCTGGAAAAACCGGACGGATCTTTGACCAAAAGTAATTTTGAAACTGCCGAAGTATTGGCTGATGCTTTTGCTTCAGTTTTTGTCAAAGAACCAGATGGACCTTTGAACAGAGAATGTTATTTTATTGCGGATGAGTTACACATTGAAAATATTGAGATAACAATGGATGATGTTGGCAGAGAACTGAAAAGAATTAATATTAGTAAAAGTAAAGGGCCAGATGGCATTCATCCTAAATTATTAAAAGAACTTGAACATAATTCAAGTTTTGTTTCTGCTGTGACTAAATTATTTCAAACATGTGCTTCAAGTGGAAAAATTCCAGAACAGTGGAAGACAGCAAATGTTACATCTCTTTATAAAAAGGGTAGTCGGAAAGATGCCCTAAATTACAGGCCAGTGTCACTTACATGCATTTTATGTAAATTATATGAAAAATTAGTAAGGAGGCATATTATGAGTTTTGTTAGTAAGAAAATAAATCCAAACCAGCATGGATTTGTAGAAGGTAAATCCTGTTTATCTAATCTATTAGAGAGTGTAGAATGTATCATCGAACTATTAGAAGATGGTGCACCCGTAGATGTGTTTTACTTAGATTTTTGTAAAGCATTTGATAGTGTTCCACATCATAGACTACTTACAAAAATGAGAAATTTGGGTATAAGTGGTAACACTTTAGATATTGTGAAAGACTTTTTATCTGGAAGAAGATTTAAGACATTTGTTGGTGGAGCATATTCCTACCTTCGTGATGTTTTATCAGGCGTCCCACAAGGGTCTGTTTTAGGTCCTTTATTGTTTGTCATTTTTATCAATGACTTGCCTGATTGTATTAATGGTATATCTAAACTGTTTGCAGATGATCTTAAAGTTATTATGGATGCCAATGACACTGAAAGCACTTTCAATATGTTAGAAAGCTTGCAAAACTGGCAAAATGAGTGGCTGTTAAAGTTTAATCCTAGCAAATGCAAAATAATGCATGTTCCATTTAATGAAAATCCCCTTCAAGAATATGTATTTAGTGGTGTTACACTTGAATGTATTGAAGCAGAGAAAGATCTTGGAGTTTTAACTTCTTCAGATTTGAAATGGTCGAAACATATTAAAAGCTGTATTAGTAAAGCAAACAGTATGATTGCATGGGTTACAAGGAATCTCATTATAAGAGAAATTAATGTTATGAGAAATGTTTATAAAACTATAATAAGACCCCACTTGGAGTATTGTGCTCAGTTGTGGTCTCCACCTGCCTGCCATGGGAATTGGGCTACTATCATTGAACTGGAAAATGTCCAGAGAAGGTTCACACGCCTTATTGATGATATTGGAACACTTCCTTACAGTGAAAGGTTGGATGCCTTACAGATTACAACACTCGCAGAGAGACGGGTTAGAGGAGATTTGATTGAAGCCTACAAAATTGTAAATGGATTGGTTGAGTATGGAAAAGATATTTTCAATTTAAGTAGATCGGGAGATAAAATTGTTAGCACTAAATCTAACAATATTGATAGAAATATTAAAACCTTGTCTAATAATTTTTTATCAGAGCGTGTTATCAGCTTTTGGAATAAATTGCCATCTTTTGTTAGAAATTCAGTGTCTGTTATTGATTTTAAAATTAATCTAGAAGAATTTAAAAAGACTAATAATTTAGTAGACACAGGCAACTTTTGGGAAGTGTCAAATATAGTTTTAGCAAAAATAGAGGGTGTAAATTATATCGAAAAGAAGAAGCAACAAGTCCAATATTTATATAAAAATCCTCGTGTTGCCAAGAGAAAGGGAATAAATATCTCATGAATTTGTTTTTATTTATTTATTTTAAATTAACGGTTTTTAACTTTTTAAACTTTTTTATATGTAAATAAATTATGACAATTATGTTATTTATAGAATTTGTTTGTTTTTTAATGACGAAGGCTGTGAAATGTTCACAGTTCTGATAATGAGGAAATCAGAAAGAATGTTTAAAACTAGTGATGATGTTTATGTCATTATTCTTAATCTAATCTAATCTAATCTAATATCACGTGTACATCGTTCCTTTTTTTTATGACACAGTAATTTATTGACACTCACAGTATAATTTTAATCATTGAATCAGTATTTTTATCTGTGCTCTGCGTAATTTTTTTATCTAGACACTTATTTTACTTCGGAGTATTCCAACAGCCATATTGTTACACAAGTGCAACCAGCCAATTACAGGAAGCCGAAGGATTTGTTTTTTTAAGCCAGTGACGGTAAAGGTAGTGTGTACCATACTTTCTTCGCCCGAGACTTTGCTGCAATGTGCAGCTCCTCATTAAACCCTCACACCTGATTTCTCGAGTATTCGGCTGAGTAGACCGGGGGGCTGCATAGACCACTCACGATCCTTAGCTGAATGTCAACGACACTCACCCCACGACCAGGCAGGCAGTGGGATTTGAACCCGCAACCTCACGATTGCAAAGCTGGCTAACCAACTGCGCTACCTGGCCATGCATCACAATCTATTAACTTATTACACATTTGTGCTCTGCTTTAGCATCACTTGACTATTTAAAAAAATTGTTTGTTCAGGCCATGACCTTACAGTCAGCCAATTGGCCATTGCTGAAATTGAATGTAATTTATTCACTTTGTTTATTTAACTTTAAAAAAAATAAATGAGAAGTGAAGAAGGTGTTCACTGATCGGTCTGAGGCCTTGTCTGGTCAGAGTTTACGTTATAGCTTGTATACGATTCCACTACTTGTCCATGTCACATACCTTCAATTATTTGAAAGTAATAAAACTAGCAAAACTGTGCGTTTTGCTCTAGAAACACACTTTTTTAGAGTTATTACCAGCGTATCCTCTATAATCACATAATTTGTCCAATTTTAGGGATGGGGGGGGGGGGAGCACTGCCAGTTGCAGTCTTCCTGATTTAGTCTGGATACTTTTATGTCAATCAGGTGTTCGATATAGAATTGGGGTATGGGAAAATACGTAGGGGTATGGTACAATTCTAAGTGGATTCACTGGTTGTACCAAGCTTAACAACTTCACCTTGATTTCATCACTATTCAGTTATTGTTAGAGGAATCCGAGATAAAATTAAAACTAAATTAATGAATTAGGAAAGTTGTGTAATTCAATACCTGTGTATCAAGAAAACAACAATTTCAAGAAAACAACAATTTTATTTAGTATCAGTTAAAGCAGACAAAAACATATTTTATAAATATAACTAGCGCAAACTTTAGACCATATATCTTAGGGGACTTGGAGTAGCAAGAGAGTGACCAGAAAGTATATATACTTTTACCAAAAATACGTTGAAATGAATCCAGGGTGACACAGGATCGGAGAGTGCAGACCATAGAGTTTACGCACCCACCCTTGCCTCCTGAATTCTTGGTCGGATAGACAATTATGCAAAATTGGTCGTTTATACTCCAAGTCCCTTTGTTAATAGAAGTAGTATTATTTATGTCTGGAGTTAGCTTCATTCTGGCATGGTCCTCTTAACAATTAAATATAGCAATAGGATAATGTATTGTTGATGCCACTGGTCCCTTCAGCAGCGTGACGGTTTTGGTTTTTGACGTCTAAAAGAAATGACTTTTCAAAGCAAAAGAGCGTGGCGCCTCCAAGAGTTCGCTGCTCATGGAGGCAATGTCAATTGTCTTGCTTTAGGTCCCAAGAAGGCTAGGCTTATGGCAACTGGCGGTGAGGACAGAAAAGTAAGTTACAAAATTTGTAACTGTATCACACAGTTGCGGGCCTGATAATTTATTGTGCAATTTTAAACCTCTTGATTATGTCACAACAATGGTTTTTGCATTTCCCGATGTTTTAATACTTACTAACAATCATTATCATGTTCTTATATAGCGTATTGATGCTTTTCATGCAAACAAGTTAAAACAAATTCTGCTGTAAGATTTATTTTCGGGAGAGGAAGAAAGGCACACACTACTCCACTACTTAAGAAAGTTCATTTTCTACCAGTTAGTTTAGAATAGATTTTAAGATTGCCCTACTTGCCTACAAGTGTTTAAATAATATAGCTCCTCCTTACTTAAAAGAGTTGATATCTCCTAGGCATCAAAGTTTTAAAAATGTACATCTTGATAATGATTATTTTTACCTTAGTTTTCCGCCCTCTCCTAACTATGTAAACACAGAGAAAGCTTTTAGTCACTGTGCAGTTAAAGTATTTAATTCCTTGCCATACGACATGAGATCAGCTGAGTCAGTTACATCTTTAAAGACCAAACTTCAAACATACTTCTTTTCTCTAGCATTTGATTGATTTTGCATTTACATAGGTAAAATGAACTTGTCATGTCTAATTTTCAATTAAACTAAGCTCAGTTAATGTAAGAGCCGCTTTAGAAAGCACTGGAGTTTATCTCCAGGATTAAATTATATCGAGTTATATGATTTAGCTATAAGGCGGTTTATAAATGTTGTATTTATTCATTATTATTATGTCGTGCATCCTGGGTTTGGACAGGATATGCCCGCTTAAAATACTTCCATCCCATTACACTACATAATTCTCAATAAATGTAATAGATTTGTAGTGTTGTAATTAGTTTAAAACTAAATTAGTATGTTATTGCCCACTTTAAGGGGCCTGTTGATAATTAGTTAAATTATTAGCTATTTTAGATTTAATAATAATATCATGTTCTTACTTCTACAGGTGAACTTGTGGACGATTGGGTCTCCCACTGTAACTCTGAGTCTAAGTGGACATACAAGTGGAATAGACTGTGTTGGTTTTGATGAATCAGAGGAGCATGTAGTTGCAGGCAGTGCATCTGGAACCATCAAACTATGGAACATTGATAAGGCACAAGTTGTCAGAACTTTGTCTGGACACAAAGCTAATATATCAGCCCTTGCTTTTCATACTTATGGTAAATTTCTAGCATCTGGATCACTTGATACTAATGTAAGACTATGGGACACAAGAAGACAGGGTTGTATTTGTACCTATAAAGGTCATGGTGGAAGAATTAACTGTCTCAAGTTCAGTCCCGATGGTAAGTGGATTGTGACAGGATCTGAAGATGGCACAGTTAAGATGTGGGATCTAGGAACCTCTAAAGTGATCCAAGAGTTCAAACAGCACGATGCTGGTGTATCATGTTTAGAGTTTCATCCGTGCGAGTTTCTCCTTGCCACAGGATCTTCTGATAAAACAGTCAAGTTTTGGGATCTAGAGACGTTTGACCTGGTGTCTACCACTAGCAGTGAGGCTAAACCTATTAAAAAGATAGTGTACGATCCTAAGGGAGATGCCTTGTTTAGTGGAGCAGAGGACAGTTTGCGTGTGTATGGGTGGGAGCCTGCCCGGGTCTATGACAGTCTCTGTATCTTCTGGGGAAAAGTAGCCGACATGTCGGTTCAATCAAACCAGCTCATTGGGGCCTCTTTCCAGCACACAAACGTTGCTGTGTGGGTAGTTGACATTGGCAAACTGAAACCTTTTAATGGAGATGTGACACCATTAGTTGAAACAAGTGAAACAGGACCTCCCCCTTCTGCCCCCACACAAGCCCCCTCAATCAGACCCAGTGTCCCCAGATCACAACCAGCACTTTCACAACCTGCAATCTTGCAGCCGACACAACCTTCTCAACCTGCCAGACAGGAGCCCTTGAAGAGAACCCCACCTAAACAGAGAAAGAATCTTCAACATTGGGAACAAAAGGGACCAACTCAGGTATCAAATTAAACGAATACTATTCTTATTTCAGTTTGCAATATGATCAATTACCGTGTAATCTTGAAATACCTAAGTTATAACTGACGACTCCCTCAGGAGCCGAGATATGGACCTTTATCTCAGAATGCAGAAGTGAATGTTGCAGCCAATGCGCTCGGTAAGATCAGTCTCCTTGACAATCAGCCTGAGCAAACCGTGACTGAGTCAGATTTCCTGAAAACTGCTGCAGGTGGCCATCGGGGTATCAGGTTAGTTAATCACACAAGACATACATACGTTACTGTGCTCCAATTCCTACCGATATATTTCCTGAATAATGAACTAGTTTTATATTTAAAGTGTGCATTATATTTGTGTTCCTGTAATCTATCTCTGAATACACATCTTCACAGAGATAATTTAGAAGCAAGACTGCGGAATCTGCAGTATGTACGCACTGTTTGGAGTAAAGGAGATCTGAAACAAGCACTTGAAGTTGCTATTGGTCTGAACGAGCAGGGCATTACTGTAGATATTTTACAGGTACATACAGTTCTACTTGTGTTATATCTTTTTAGTTCTTACTGGCCTTCCTGGTGTGAATTCTGACAATGACTGCAAAATTGATTGAAATATCCCGTTAAAGGGAATACCCAATAATCATGTATATGATCAAGCATTTATTATATATCAAGTCTGTCAAAGTAAAGTAAAATTTATGACATCACATCATCACACATGTCTACAAAATATCATCGCACTATGTGAACAAATATATAATATATATTTCCCCACCAACATTAATTATATATCAAATACAATATTTAAAAAATATTTATCAAAACATTATCCTATTTTAAAAACCTAATCAAACTTCCCAGTGGAATAAAGATTTATAAAACGCTTCTTTGCCACATATTAGGATGAAACCAAAGATAATCGTTATGTTTCTCTTTATTACTGACATAACTGGCTCCCTCAATTCTTACTGAAACTTCATTAGAAACATTCCAAAAAAAAGCAATCATTAGTAATATAGTATACTTTTAGAAATCATATCTTTCTTAAATCCTTCTAATTTAATTTTAAAGCCTAAAACTGTCAGAGTTCTTGACGTCCGGAGGTAGTTTGTTCCAATATGGAATAACTCGCTCCGGGAGAAAAGACTTCTGGATATTTTTGATTTTAGTTAAATTTCTACTACATCTATTGCTTGAAACAAGATTAAGACCGGATCTGCCAATCCTAAACATCTCTGATCCATAATCAGTCAAACCACTTGTTACTTTAAAAGCTTCTGTTGTTTCGTTCATACGATAGCTCACATTATAAACGTGTAAAACTGCACTGAAATAACACTTGCTGCTCAGGTAATCCAGAGCAGGCCAGCTATCTGGGATCTGCACATCTGCACGATAGTCCTCCCCGCACTGCGCACACTCTTCCACTCCAAACACGAGAACCACCTCTTCGTCGCATGCAGCACTCTCAAACACATTATCAGAAGCTTTGGCCAGCTCATCAAGGATAACATGAACGCACCGCCTGTGGGTAACATTGACATTACGCGGGAGGAGCGGTATAAGAAGTGCCATCTGTGTCACCAGCAGATAGCTAATATCAGTCGTGAGATAACCAGACACTCCAGTGCGCAAGGCAAACTTGGCAGCGCTATCCGGGAAATTATTAAGCTTTCTGAGAGTTTTTATTAGAGATTTCTAGTTTGGTTCTGATCCTATTGGTTATTATTTACAGTGGATTGTAATTTGATTTAAGAGGGAGCCTGAGTTAGGATTGCAGAAATTTGGTCGCTGAGTTCATATTGAGTGTGAAGGTTACTAAATTATTTGGTTTAAAGTCGAGAAGTTGGATCACAGAAGTTTTTAATTTATTGTCGATGATCATAATCACCCGTTAAGAAGTGTTTTTGTAGAATGTAGATGTTATGTCGTACTAATATATATATTAGTACGACATAACATCTACATTCTACAAAAATATATATAATATCACATGTGATTCAATGTCACAAGCTTGAGCCTCTTTCCATAGGCTGTTTAAAATGAGTTTTTATACGATTTTTAGAGCTAAATTTTTAAAATATTTATTTGGGTTAAAAGCCACCAATGACAAAGGGTTACCTTGTTATATAGGTGTTATCTAAGTGTTATCTAAGTGTTATCTAAGTCTGACCTGGGTAATACTTTGTGTTAATATGCCTCGTTTCGTTAAGAAATCGGACTCTGTAATGGGCGTTAACTGCATGGGCCAAGTTTAAGGCATTTCACTGCCTGAAAATTGTTTTGAGTCTATTTAAAGCTGTATATATGATATAAAGTAATTTATCTGTAAATATATTAAATTTTGTTTATAGAACTTCCAAGACTTTGTGTACAGTTAATAGAGCGGAATAGAGCTGGTTTGTTGGACAAATTATACACCGTTCACAAAATGATCAAGTGAAGCCTATCAACGCTTCAAAGGATGTATTTGACCAGTCATTCGCAGTTAGAAGCTTACCTTGACTATTTAAGTTCTTCCTTCATATCACAAATTTAAACGTCAATATGGGTGTACGTGTTGTCAGAATAACTGAGAAATTCCGGCCTAAGACGATTCTGTAGTGTCATGAAACAATCGTTATTTCAAGTTTGTGAACAATTGTTTATTTAATAAGTTTTACTGACCAGCTATTCAGGGTAGGATGGTGTATTTTCAGAACCCTGAAAATGCCCTTAAAAGAGCCAAAGAGTTTATAGAGGTAAACAAGAAGAATGATGCACTGGACACGTTGCACGAGGTGCTGCGCATGCGCAGACATCGTCAATACCAGCACGATCTACACGAGCCTATCATAACGCTCTACTTGTCTCTGTGTGTGGAGCTGAAGAAGGGGCATGCTGCCAAGGAGGGTCTCTATCAGTACAAGATACTTACTCAGAATACTGACATCAACTCTCTGGAGAAGGTGGGTTGTCAAACTACTTACACGTGATCACCACGTCATATTACTATTTCTACTAAAAGTTAACATTTTTCAAGATGCCTCATGACTTGCTCGCCGAGTTTACCAACCTTTCAGCCTTCCTAGTACACTGTAACAGTGCTACAGTGCTACACTGCTACACTGCTACACTGCTACACTGCTACAATCTCTCCTCTTTTATAACATCTCCTCTTCTCAGGTTATCAGACGATTTGTTCACACAGCAGAAAACAGGGCCGAGGAAGCGAGCAAAGAAGCTAAGTCCTCTAAAGGAGACATGGCTAATGTAGACGATCTAGATATGCTGTACACTCCTGAGAGGTTCGTAGAGATCACGTGATTTTAGTTTCTATGGTTACTGATATCACGTGACTTTAGTTTTTATGGTTACTGATATCACGTGATTTTGGTAACTGAAGTAACAAGCTATCAACTAAATGTGGATTAAACATGATTTAAAAACTTGATCATTGAAAGACCCTGATAAAGTAAGCGATATGACCACAGTAGTCCCCCGCCCCCGGACCCTGTGTCTCAGTGCCCCCTCTCACTCCCTCCATCTCTCAGTCTGATGTTAGCTACTGTATCTGGAGAGGATGACCAGGACAGAGCTGACAGAACTGTGCTCACACCCTGGGTCAAGTTCTTGTGGGAGGTCTACAGACACGTGCTCGACATTCTCAAGAACAACAACAAGGTCGAGAAACTCTACCAGGACATGGCACAGCTCGGTTAGTTTACACCACGTGACTCGTCACACCACGTGACTACTTATCTCTGTTTCTGGTAATGATTTGAATACGATATATAGTCCGAAAGACCGTGACTACAAAAGGCGAATATGAAACCCCAGGTAATGATGGTAACCATAGTAACACTACACACATACCTCCTCTAACTGTAACCATTACAGCGTTCACATTCTGTATAAAGTACGAGAGGAAGACAGAGTTTAGAAAGTTATCAGACAGTGTCAGGAACCATCTCAACCTGATAATCAAACACTCCCACCAAACCAACTCTATCAACCTCAACGATCCTGTATCTCTGCAGTTACATCTCGATACCAGGCTATACCAGCTAGATTGTGCTATCAAGATCAGTCTCTGGCAGGTACCTACTTTCTCTCTTGTTTCATTTTTCAGTCTAATTGTGTTTAAAAAATCAAATATCCACTTTTCCAACTGGCAGCGTCTGTTAAGCCAATTATTCGCAGTTAAATCCCGAAGTACTACGAATATTGCACGGTTTTATGTAACTCGCTCTCCCAGGAAGCTATAAAGACGATAAACGATATCCACAGTTTGATGCAGCTGAGCAAGAAGAAACCAAAACCCCAGGCTCTTGCGAACTACTACAAGAAACAGGCTCTGGTCTTCAGCAAGGCTAACAACAGGTGATCACTTCATTAATTTGAAATTAAATATAACTGTTTTGTTTCCTTTACCATAGATACATAGAACAATCTTCGCTTTTAATTTCAGTATTTCTCCGATTAACTTCAATCGGAATTGATTCAAATAACTGAAATATCGTATTGTACAGATTGTTTGAGTACGGGTATATGGCCCCCAGAATATAGGTGGCCCCCAAAATATAGGTCATGGATACAGTTCTAACCAAGATAAGCGATACTAATGGGATCTGTTACTGCTATGTTGGAGTAAAACATGTAACTAATGTTTCTGGATAAAAATTTTGGACCTACATGAGGTATTTTGGTATATTTGGTCATGACAGCGAAAGATTTAAACGATGTTGTCATTTTCTAGAGGGGTAAATATGGCGAAAAATTGTCATGACAAAAATCTGTCCAACACATATCATGCCATTAAGACTACTGGTATGAGTATAAGTATTATTTTAAGCTATCTTTTCATCGAGACATCTGCAAACTGACAATTTGGAAAAAAGTTATGGCCACCACAATTTTACGGGCCCCCAGAATATAGGTCTATACGACCCCCAGAATATAGGTTGGTCAAAAACCCTGAACATGCCCAAAACCATGCTTTGGGATGCTCTACTTGTAGCTACTAGTCTCCTGAACCCACATATCAAGTTTTATCAAAATTGGATAAAAATTGGCCGAGTTATGGGATAAAAACAAAAACCATATGCCCATATTTGGGCATACGCACCAAATTTGATCGATTTTGGTCCATAAATTGGTCAAATATCAATATTTTTGAATGAAACCAACTTTATATGGAAGGTAAGCATATATTACACATTCTCTATGATTATCAGCTCAATATCTACCTAACTGTGGATTCTGTGTTCAAATAATCGCAAAAAATGAACAAAATCGCCCATATCTCAAACTGACTTCGCTCAAAACAATAGAACTCAATAGGGTTTCAATATTTTCACATGAAATTTTCAGAATCAACGTAGAATTGTCTCATGACCTTAAGTTTTGGGACAGAATTTTGAGTTAGGCCTTTAAAAAAATTTGGCGGCCAAAAATGTCTGATTTACAGTCATTGAGGTGCACATTGTATTGATACAGATAAAAACAGCCCCCCTCAATCATATCTAGGGACACTCCTTCAATCTTATTTAAGTATTTAGTTAAGATCCCTACTAAATGAGTGCATGAAAGCTTTTTAACTAGTAAAATTAAAGATTTTACTCATTACGGGTATATGGCCCCCAGAATATAGGTTTAAAAAAAAAAAATAGCGACCAAGATTCTGCATTTTCTCTGTCACCCTGAGCATTAAGGAATGTGGGGTAGTGATGAGAAACAGTTAAAGAACATATGCTGAAGAGATGGCATCATCAAAATGTATGAAGGTGGAGTATTTGAGGACGATTTTTGCATACCTATATTCTGGGGGCCGTAGTTTTTGATTTTTTGCTATTAAGTATACTCTAAACCATTTCAATTTAGTATCTGGAGCCATTGGCATCATCAATACAGTCTCAGCAACATATTCTGACTGCATATAACTGTCTGTGACAATTTTAGAACAACTTAGGAACAGATGTTTGGACCTATATTCTGGGGGCCCTGTTAAAAAATGGTATTTTTACAGGTGAAAAAAAAGTACACTTAAAAACCTAATAATTATTTTCAACTACCCAAGAAACATTTAAAGGGTTATTATGTACATATTTACAGCCCTAAACATGCTTAGAAGTAGTTTTAACACCTGTTTCTAAGTGCTCAAAAAACGACCTATATTCTGGGGGCCATATACCCGTATTAATTTAAATATAATTGTACAATGTACACCTTATTTAGTTATCAGCTTACATAATTTGGTGTGCACGTGCAGATTATCTAAGAAATAACAACTAAATAATATAACTTATTGTACAGATTATTTGAGGCATGTGCACTGATGAAGCACTATCAGTTAGTGTTCGACCAGAAGAAAACAGCAACTATACAAGAGAAACAGATGTTAGCATCTGGTGTACTTATGGCTACACTCGCTATACCTCTACCTGCTTCAATGAGCGAGAATGAGAAATATCTTGATCTGCAGGTTAGTGAACTGCAGGAAAATATCTTGCAGTGAAATATCACGTGGGTTATCACGTAGGTGAGATGATGTTCCCAATGACAAAACTACGAGGATTTAGACAATATATCTCTTAGCAAGCGACTTGTAATTTCGAAGGGCGACTAAAACAGTTATTCCAATTGGGTCGTCAGCATCATCGAAATTTCAAATTTTTGACAGACTAGATAACAAAGGGACTTTCTTTTTTTATCAGATTAACATCATCCTTGAAATTCGTCAAGTTGAGTAATCAAATACCGTGGAGTACAGTTTTTAGTTTACTCACGCCAAAACAGCAAAGTTAATAATACAAAGCATTATTTCAACAATTGGGGGCTCCAAGTGTTTTTGTCATTGGGATGAGGTGTGACGTAATGTGAGGTGTGACGTAGTGTGACGTCACAAAATTTAGCAGTATATCCGAACTGTAATATGAACCATGTATGTAAAGAGTCCCCTACAGTATTTAAACCTAATTCATTAATGCTCCACACTACACTCCCTCAATTCTCAGAACAGTACAAAAGATAAGAACATGACGCTGGCCTCGTACCTGGACCTGCAACATGCTCCTACCAGAGAGACGCTAATAGCTGACATAGTTAAACAGGGAATACCCAGCAAAGTGTACCCGGAACTCCAGCCACTCTTCAAAATACTGGAGATTGATTTCCAGCCTCTTAAGGTGATTTATTGACTGATATTTTATTATTTTGGTATCTTATATCATGGGATGTAGTAGGTCGTAGATCGAGCTTTTCAAATGTCTATGTTACGACACTAATAATCTTTATAATCTGTAGCTGTGTAGTTTGGTGAACAACATGTTAGCTGAGGTAGAGAAACTTTACCCCGATTTGAGTCCGTACGCTGCTGATGTACGACAAGTTGCTGTTTTGAGACTCATGAGACAGCTGGCTCAAGTGTACGACAAGATATCTATCAGCAAGGTAACACTTTCACTATTTCACTTTCACTATTCATTGATATATACAATAGGTGTTAAGTTTTAAGAGGCTTAGCAGTTAGCGTGTATGCAATGCTACAATATGACATACGCTCACCTGACTTGTTAAAATGTTAGTCAATTTCTGGTGTTGGGTGTGTAAAAATGTTGGCTATTTGCCAACTAACCCTGTAAGAATTATACTGAGGTATTATAGTACTGCAGTGACATATAATTATACTTACGTTTCAGGTCGTGTCTCTAATCCCGTACATAGAGCCACTAGAACTAGAGCTACTGATTATAGAACCTGCTAAAACACTAGACCTGCAACTGAGAATAGACCATGCTACTCAGACCTTCATATTCGGTAGCACTATTCAGTACCAGAGAGAAGAGACTGCTAGGTCTGTATCTACTGCCACTTTCTCTTTCACTTTATCTTTCACTATCTCTTTTCTTTATATGACCGCCCGTCTATAGAATATACATGTTATCTATTACAATATCTCAGTGGACCTACAGTACAGCAGATGCCTAGTGAAATGTTCAGAAACCAGCTCGTGTTGCTGTTCCGCGCTCTCAACAAGAGTGTTGACCTCATTTCACCCACTATGAAAGTTGTGAGTAATCTATTTCACCTTTATTTATGATGTTAACCTTGCCTATTATAAAATGTTCACTATAATACGTTATATAGGTTCACACTAACTGACAGTTACCCATGCTCAGCAAGCAAAGGATGCGTTACGGCACGACTCTATCAGTGTTTACATGAAGTCCGCAAAGCGCGACCAGATGAACATGATCAAGAGGAAGGAGATGATAGAGCACAGAAAGGAGTATTACGAGAATCTCAACACAGAGAAGGAGCGTGCAGAACTGCAGGAGCGTGAGAAGACACGTCGTGAGGCAGAGAAGGCAGAGACAAAGCGTCGTGATGAGGAGGAGAAGAGGAGAACTGAGGAGAGGAGTGCTCGCGAGGAGAAACACAAGGACAAGCTCCTCAAGATGGAAAAAGTCAAGAAACTCATGGAACAGGTTGGTGCTTTGAACCTTTGCAAGTTTGTCATTCGACCCACTAGTATAAATTTAGCTTAACTAAAATTGACTACAACATGCTCTATGTTAAATGTTTGAATTTTAACTTCTCGTTCAAAATAAATATCTTTAAATCTCCTAACCCTGTGTCCACTAAACAGCTGGGAGAGAAGCCGTTTGAAGGGCTGACAGAGGAAGAACTCCTTGGAATGGAGGAAGAGGAGTTGCTGGCACGTGGTATCGAGTATATGAGCAAGGAAAAGGATGATCTCAAACACAAGATGAAACAGGTGCTCTTTCAGAACATTGAAGTGTGGTTTTATCATGTTGAGTTATCTTTAGTTAATATCTCAGATAGTTAACATGTATAATCAACAATTTAACATTAGGTTGAGAAGCGACTAGACTACTACACTCGAGCACAGCGTCTTGTCGAGATACCTCTGATGAAAGAAGAATGGGAGAAGTCTCAAGAGGATGATAAGATATGGTGGGAGGAGAAAGAGGCTACTAGGATTGAGATGGCCATCAAGAAACGAGAACACGATATTTCTACCAGGAAGCGGCTACTAAGAATGAAGGACGATAAGGACGAATTTGTATCTACCATCTTATCTCAGAAGGTAGGATTCATAATATGTTATACATCCTTTTAGTTGCGTTTTATGATCATTTCCTAAATTTAAATTTAGCAAATGACAGAATATTTTTAAAAACAAGCCATTCCTATCCCGTACGTGTCACTGCTTGTGAAGATTGAATGTCGAAAACAATATTATTGATTGCGTGTTATGTGTTGCAATGTCAAATGTGTACTATACACTATAGTTCTGCGTTATAATCTCTTCTTGTTTTATTATGAATGCATATTCAGTTAATAAATATTGATAAAACTTAATGACAAAACATGACGCCACAGGAGATGCAACACCAAGAGGAAGTAAACAGATTCGAAGAGGAGTTGTTGAGAGTGAGAGAAGAGAGAAAGGATGCTAAAAAGATGGAGATTTTGAAACAGCTCACAGAAAAACGAAGAAAGGAAGAACTTGCTAAAGGTAACAGATATTTCATGTATTTGTTATAGATAGATTCGGGATAGTGAGAATGCCCGGGTAGAGCTGAGATATAATATTAGATAGTCTGATAGACCCGTGTTAATTTCCTGGAATGCGATAGCTGATACTATGTACATGAAATAAAAACTCGTGTGTATCGAAACTATGCTGAAACCTTTACCACGTCTGACGTCACTTAATGACTATGAAAACAAGTTGAATAACATTCCGTTGTCATATAAAATTGCTTTTATTCCACATCATAGGCATGTGACCCGTGTAGGTGATCTTTAATTGTGGTAATGTGTGCGTATCTCATGGCTTACAAACGCTTGTAGGAACCCTTCACATATTATCCCTGACTATATATTCATAATTGTTACATTTAACATTTCTCACTCATATCTATTTAAGTTTAACGCCCTTAGATAAAACACGCTTCGCACGTTGTGTCCATGTATTTTATAATCATGGTATTACACGAAGTGAGACTCAAAACCTGCTAACAAGTCTACTTCTCTACTAGAATGAATATTAATTGTTTTCGAACGTTATATATTATATATGTATAAATACTTTGATTATAATCACATATACTCGCAGAGGCAGAGGACAAGAAGAAACAAAAGGAAGAAGAGCTGAGGAAGTTCAAAGAAGAGAAGATGAAGATAGATGAAGAGGCTCGTGAAACCCAAATGAAGCAGGAAGCTAGAATGAGGGCTGTAGAGGAGAAGATGGCACAGAAAGATAGGGAGAGATCTGATAGAGGCGGAGGTGGTGACAGATGGGATAGAGGTGGAGACAGAGGTGGAGATAGAGATAGAGGTGGAGACAGAGGTGGAGACAGAGGTGGAGACAGAGATAGAGGTGGAGACAGAGATAGAGGTGGAGACAGAGGTGGAGAAAGATGGGATAGAGGCGGAGACAGAGGCGGAGAAAGAGGCGGAGAAAGAGGCGGAGACAGGGGAGATCGCGATAGAGGAGACCAAGATAGAGATGAAGGTCAGAAGAAGTCTGTTTTTTGTGCAATTTACCCCATCTTTATCGGCATTCGGCCATCCAATACATTAGTGTTAAGAACATTTGGGAGTGGCGAATCTAAACGAGACATCAGGTTGTCTGGATTACTACTATTAGTGGTTTCGTTCTAACTAATTCTCTATTAGGGCCGTGGCGTCGATCTGGAACCCGTAATGAGAGTCCGGTGCGACGAGAAGAACCTGTGCGACGAGAAGAACCTGTGCGACGAGAAGAACCTGTGCGCCGCGACGAACCCGTGCGACGAGACGATCGAGGAGACCGTGACCGTGTGGATCGTCGAGACGACCGCAGAGACGACCGGGGAAGAAGAGATGAGTTTAAACGAGACGACATGCGAGGTGAAGACGATAGTAGAGGGGACGAGCCACAACCTCAGAGGAAGAGACTGGTTTTGGCACCGCGCACCAAACCTACTGAGAACGTTGCTCCACCGAGACGTTCTGAGCCCGTCGGAGGAGGTGAGATTTAGCAACCTGCTTGTGTCTCCCGTACTATTTATCGTTCAGTTGATAGTTACTTAAAACAGTTCGCTCATGTAACGACCATTTAAAAGTTTAATTACGAAACCTCAATCTTCGCCAAGGTTCTTTTTCGACTAGCAAATTTTTACCCCTTGCTTGTCAAAAAAGCGACTTTCCAGCAATTAGCTTTGTGCGCGTAAAATATCCTGCCGCGCGCTAGCAGCGCGAACCAACGGGCAACGCCATGATGACTGTGCATTTTCAGCGCAACGTGACGGAATGGAACCTAGAAGTACTCCAGAAGGAAGAGACGGACAGCGATCATCTGCTTCTGCTCGACCACGAGGAGACGGTGAAGAGCAGGATGGTTTTATCACAGTTACCAAGCCGGCTAAGGGAGCATACAAGCCACCCCATCGCCGATAAACTATTCATCATATTGACAATGATTGCTGTTCGCTTGAATCAGTACAGCTGTGATTGAGGGTCTTAATTTATCTGATAGTAACCTTTTGTAATTGGCTTGTTGTCTTTTAAAATCTTACTTTTTTTTGGCAAATAGGTGTTGTGTTTTGTTCTTGGAAGGTCATAGTTCAAAAATGTCTAATCATCATTCAAATTTCGCGGGGATCGTTCACAGAAAAAGTGTATATACTATGTATGTACTATATTGTATATATACTATTTCGAACAACAACTTTCCCAGTCATATAACTACGCATCTGGAATTATTAATATTTGTTTCGTTTGACGCTGCATAGTAAGAGAAACTCTTTTATGTTCAATAGTAATGTCAATAGAAAATATATGTATCAAAATTTAAATAAAAAGAAAACACCTAGCTTGTGACTAATTTTATAACTTTCGATAAATTAATGAAACTATATTTGACTCTATAGATGTCATCAAGTCTATTCCTTAGTCATCTTGTTCATTTTATAGTCATAAAGTTTCTGAACCCAATCACTGTCCGGAAATTCGCCCTCTAACCGGTCGATATCATGCACAATGTCGTCTGATATTTTGTCGAAATTAAAGATGTATTGAGTGTCAACTCCTCGCAGTTCCAACTGTACGAGAATGTTATCCAGATTCTCCGTAATGTTCTGCATTATATCTGGCAAAGTCTCCGACTCAAATATATCTGCAAAGATAAGTGATCGTAACTTTTTCAAATCACAAGTTTTGAAAGTTATCGTATTATTTATATTATACTACAAATACACCATCAAATACACCATCGCTTACCTAACGCTACAATTGATATACCACATTAAACGTTGGTCGTTTTTATATTGAATGTGATCGAGATAACACTTGAAAACTCACCAAGCTGTCTGGGTTTGTGGAACTTGAAGAGGTCACCACCGTGCACCAGCAGATCCGCCCCCACCCCAACTGCTCCCCTGCTCATATGATCACACACCAACTGCTCCAACACTCTCCCCCACTGATAACTTACTCCTGGAAATAATGTTCTTACTAACTGTATCTAGAAGACAGCGTTGCTAAATTCTAAATCGAACAGGAGTCTAGATATTAGTGTCCATCTGATATTTCAACAAAGTGACAAACCGTGGAAGTAAGGAAGAATGTTCAAGATGAAGTTCTCGTTGCCACTGTTTACAAGCTCTATACAGAGAGTTGCCAAGTGATTCTCAAATCCTGTCACGCAGGCCATCTTGTCTTTCCTGCAAATCACATTTGTGAGGAAGCAATAGTTATCGTACCTTATAAATATAACAATGTCCGTTATGGTTTGTGAGCACTACAAGTAAAACGAATTCCCGCATGGCTAAGATTTGTGGTTAGAACCCCGTTAGAGGCTGAGATTTGTGGCAAGAACCCCGTTAGAGGCTGAGATTTGTGGTTAGAACCCCGTTAGAGGCTGAGATTTGTGGTTAGAACCCCGTTAGAGGCTGAGATTTGTGATTAGAACTCCGTTAGAAGTTAGAAGTTAGATAAAAGTTACACCCACACTAACATACCTGAGAAGAGTGTCCAGTAGATCCAGGTTACCGTTCCTTGCTAAACTGAACATTACACTAGAGTAGAAGCGGTATCCCAGCTTAATAGACCCGCAGCGCTCTAGTGCTGACTGTAACTTAACCAGCTCGTCAAACTCACCTCTCATAATATGAGCTGCCGCTACTATACTGGGGGTATATTAGCAATTAGTATAACGCTTTGAGTAGGTAAGGAATTCTTGTTTTTTAACGGGTTGCTACACTGTACACGGGTTGGGATATCGGTAATGCAACATGCAAAGTGGGTAAATTTGACGGGATTTGGTAAGAGTAGTGACTGGCTCTTACTAAATCGCTCGCCCAAAAATCATCACGTGACTTTGGTTTTTAATCCTTACCATATAATGTTAATAACCCCAAAGCTATCCATAACTATAGGCATAACCCTAACCCGAAACAATCGAATTCGTGTTTCACTAGCCTGTCACGTAACCAAAATAGTTTTTTGCCCTTAACTCTCCAGGGAAGCATTTTTACCCTACGTCAGCGTCCAAAATACATCAAACTGAAAGATTTCTTTCATACCCTCAGGGTCTTTTCACAAACATTTAAAAAAATTTGGGCGAGTGATTTAGTGGGAGCGGTAGTGACTAGTGGATAAGTGGATGGCGAAAATGGCGGAAATTGAAAACTGGGATGATTGCAGATTGGTGATTAACGATTATCCCTCACACCTCAGAGTAAATTTAGTATTTACCCGAAAGAGCGGTCCGTAAAACCAGGGAAGTTGCGGCTTGTAGAGAAGGAGTCAAAACACTGACTGATCGCAGCGGAGTCTCCTTGTAAGCTGAGGAAGTTGCAAACTGTGTCTGATAACTGTACAATATGGTGATTATCGTAGCTTAGCGGCAGATTCAGCTTCCTCAGATCCTCAAATACCTGGAATATTGATAATTCATTTAAAGTTTATATCTACTGGTACAATGTTACCTAAACAACCGTCATTACTTTCATCCTTGAAGTTGAATAGACTTCTCGTTGTTGATAGTTACTGTCACAAAGATGTAGCCAACTTCAGCCAATGGTAAATTCGGCTGAGGTTGGTTCACCGTTCACGTGTTGAAGTGTTGGTTATAGTAAGGGTTATAGTAAGGGAAATATGCAACGTGTAGCAAGTTAATTAGGGATGATCTCTGACTGTCACCAACACTTAAACCAACTTGGCCAAAGGAGGACATTACGGCAGTAGACAGCACGGTGGAGAAGGGTGGACAGTGCGGTGGAGGAGGGTGGACAGTGCGGTGGAGGAGGGTGGACAGTGCGGTGGAGGAGGGTGGACAGTGCGGTGGAGAAGGGTGGACAGTGCGGTGGAGGAGGGTGGACAGCACGGTGGAGGAGGGTGGACAGTGCGGTGGAGGAGGGTGGACAGTGCGGTGGAGAAGGGTGGACAGTGCGGTGGAGGAGGGTGGACAGTGCGGTGGAGGAGGGTGGACAGTGCGGTGGAGAAGGGTGGACAGTGCGGTGGAGGAGGCTGGAGGGTGGACAGCACGGTGGAGGAGGGTGGACAGTGCGGTGGAGGAGGGTGGACAGCACGGTGGAGGAGGGAGGACAGTGCGGTGGAGAAGGGTGGACAGTGCGGTGGAGGAGGCTGGAGGGTGGACAGCACAGTGGAGGAGGGTGGACAGCACGGTGGAGGAGGGTGGACAGTGCAGTGGAGGAGGCTGGAGGGTGGACACTGGACAGCACGGTGGAGGAGGGTGGACAGTGCGGTGGAGGAGGGTGGACAGCGCGGTGGAGGAAGGTGGACAGTGCGAAGGAGGTCTCGTGTAGTGTGGCTGCTCCCAGTCTCACTGTTAAAACTGCAGGAACCGCCTGCAACTTGTTGATTCTTTATTTCACTTTCGCCATATTGGGTAGTAAAATGGATGTTTAATAATAAGGGGTCGTTCACATATTACGTAATCAATATTTTAGCAATTTTTACCCCCCTCCCCCTTTCGTAATCAACCGTAATCAAGACCCAACCCCCCCCCCCCTCCTGACAGCAATATTACGTAATCATGGCTTGACCATTGTTAATGATCTGGCCCGGCGCGCGCTACTTCGTAGCTCGTGCCGTCGGGCATTTCGAGAAGAAAGCGGCGCGCGCTACTTCGAAGAAATTTAGACGAGTAACATCCGTCAAAATCATGGCCTGACCCCCCCTCCCCCTTGACTTTTTTCCTAGAAAACACTTTTCTCTACGTTTCATGCTACCCTGATCATGCTATCATGATGAGCCGAAATCATTGTTATGATATCCGGCCAAGCACCTTCTAGACTACTTACTATTATAGCCGGATATTCGATCAATTTCTAAATTTTATCACTATCAGAGTGAAATTGAGTGGAATTTGAATTATAATATTGTCAAATTGTTATTATTCTAGAGGGTAAAAAGACAATTTTGATGACGTAATCAACGACCGAAACCCCCCCCCCCCCCGTAATCAACAGTAAGCATTCATAAACCCCCCCTCCCCCCTCGGCTGATTACGTAATATGTGAACGACCCCTAATGTATACATTTTGTCCATCCTGCATTTTGTCCATACTGTATCACAATCATTTTCGCTGCCAGTTTGAATCTACTGGCATCAATTTATTCTCAACTTTTCAAAGTCGGTTTGAAAATTGAATTTATCAGCACTTATTCGTAGTACGATTTGAAGAAATGAAACAAAGAATTACCAGTTCAACTCAGAAAATATAAATAAATTCAGTAAAACTGGGAGAAAACACAACCTCTTAAGATAATTTCAACAGCAACGCCTTTATTCAACATTAATATATCCACAGAGAGGAATTAGGAAAACTTGCAAAGGACCTTCCAGACCTTCTTGTCACCTTTCGAAAAACATCCGTATTTTGTCCACTCACTGTTCTTCCCTCGCACCTTTCCGGACAGAAAGATCCTCCTACACAAAGTAGATATTATATTTGTCGCTGCCTCATGTCCATCCTCATCTTTCTTCATCACTTCGTCAGATTTGAGTTTTTTACCGGTCTTTAGTGAGTTCAGTCTCTCCTTTGCTTCTAGGGCCAGATCAGTATCATAATATTCCAGATTACTCTCGCTGAGTTCTTCCCTCTTTTCAGTACCACAGGGGGACAGGGATTCGTCTTTGTCAGATTTAACCTTAGCTAAGCTCATCATTAAAACCGTCATCACGATTAGTAGCCTCATCATGTTACGGATCTTCAGATGTCTTTACCGGAAAAGTCTCGAACTTGTCTCTGTTTCTGTACTGGATATCTTTGGGAGAACAACGAAGAAAGCTGAACTATCATATCACTGATTGTACTTTTATACTGTTGCAGCAGCCAATAATTACTAAATAGCAGACCAAAAAGACAATTTAATTACGGGGCAGAAACTATAATTACAGCAGAAACTGACAAGAAAAGTGTCTAAATCAGAGAAAACGGGGAAGATTCTTCCTCGTCGACAGCATAAGGGAGCTGGGATTGAAGCATGGAAGATTGAAATGGTTCGTAACGTTAGTGGGTACTTGACGATATAATTTTATTGAGGCTAAGGAGTAGAGCAAGAATTGTCACATCATATAAATATAACGATAAGTATTGTAATTTACCTCAATTTTAAAAATCTCTAAAAATAATTATTAGAAAAGTAAATTTCGGCAGGTGGGAGATTTTCTGTCAGGTAAAGGACAAATACGGGTGATCCGCCGGTAAGTGGTAAATTTTAGATCATAAATTGTAATTTATTTGTGAACGAGGAGAGATTAGGCAATATCATTGAATATATTTCTTGTTAAGGTTGGTGGGTTAATCGCAAATTTTATCATTGTCATAATTGGTCGAACGAAAATCTCCTAAGCTTCGTATTTAGATAGTCCAGAAGAACCGGAAAATTCCACAGAAATCGACTAGCAAGACCACGTTAATAGGAGACCACAGTAGTTCGAATATTTTAGCTGTTCATTAGAAAGAGCGAAAATTATTGTTGATTGGGAAGAAGGAATTTTTTTTGTCCAAAATTATAGAAGTGAAAAAAGTCACACTTTATGTGGTACACCCTGTATATCCGGAGAGTTACCTGGTTGAGGTCGATGTCGAGTCTGAGAGCCCACACTGTAGATAGATAACTGTTGTATAAGGAACTACTGATAGGGTACTCACAATCTATCAGTCTTGTTATTATCTTGTCCAGCAACTCCCTGTGACAAAGAGTTAGACTGATCCCTTAAAATATTAATATCGGGTATTCAGGGAAATATTGAAGTAAATTTCACATACATATTACGTAATCACTGAGGGGGTGAATGACATTGACTACGCTAGTGTAATTTTAACACAATAGCTATTTGTAAAACAGATTATGGAGGGGGTTAAAAATTGGGCAAAAAGTGAAAGTACGTAATACACGAACAACCCCTAACATAAATTAAGTAAAGCCAACTACCTCCTATGCTCGGGAGGGGAGTAGACAAGTCTTTTGCAGTGTTCCAGCAGAGTCTGATGAATCCCTTGAGGATAACATCTGGCATTGTCCAGTATATCTCTACAGACTTGTCTCCAATCCTCTAGTCGTGTTATTGGGTTGCTGGGTATCCTGGCTACACGTGTCTCTAGTGTTTGTAACTCGTATATCGTCTGTAACACGAGTTGAAAGTCAGAGGGTGACTCGAATTTGATACAAAAGTTTATTCAAATCGATTAAAATCACATTGCTATGGAAACCAGCAATAATTGACATTGCTATAGAAATCGACAATAACTCACCCCGCCCATTTTGCCAGTCCGCTGGTATTTTACAGGCAGATCGCTGTGAAGTTTGGTGAAACTCATTCTGAGGGAACGGAGAATATCCGAGTTTACTTCAATGTTGGTGGCGAGAGGTGTCTGAATCTTAGCAGCCTGGGATTATTTACAAATTAATATTTCTAACTTCATGAGCGCAATAGAAATTTCAACAAGTCTTGTAATAAGACGAGAACTCACGGCTAATTTTTCTCCGCAAAATGTAATAAATAACATAAAATAAAGAAATTGCGGTAGTTACATGGTTAGTAATATAGCGGGAGAGAGGGTTGCCATGGTAACCAGAGAGATATTGTAGAGAGCTAGAGGAGGGAGCTCGACTGAGAAACCTCTTCATCCTAAGAGTGGTGTTACTTTAAACAAAGCGGATTTTACGTTAGTATTATATATAATAGCTAAAATTACATTGTACCAGGGCGATTGTCAAGTTCTCACTTGAAAAAAAGTTTATGGCGGACAAGCAAATTTAGGTTACTTTGGACTAACTGTAACCAAGATGTAGGCAACTTCGGCCAATGTTAACTTCAGCCGAAGTTGCCTATATCTTGGTTACAGTAGCACTATCAATTCAAATACTCAAGACGAAACCAATACAAATATCATTTTGTGAAAATAATACAAATCTGGCACCACCAAATGAGAGAAACATTGAAATATTTAGAAAAGTAAACAGAACAGTAGCTTGACTCTGCCACAAGACAGTTGAAGAATATCATAAGATGAAGGAGACAGTCTTATAAACCAAATAACCTATCTTAACCAGAATACCAGATAAGATACAGATAAGATAAGGATAACGAGATGCAGGATGATAAAACAAGGCTCTTGTTCCAGCCGGTCCAGACTGGAACCCCTCTGTCAGTTTGAGAACAACTCGTTCGTTTTTATCACCTTCTTCTTTGCTATCAGGGATTTACCTTCCGGGTCACGTGACAGCGCCTACAGAAGTAAAATAACATTTACTAAAGTAAAACGAGATTTAATTTCTATCATTTATATCAGATTCAAGACTGAAATTTTGCTAAATTGAATATCGGAGTTGGAAAGAACTAGTAACCTTGCGCATATCGTACGCGTCCTCGTCAGGCGGAGAGTGGGGTGCGTTGCCTCCCGCGTAGTACTCCACAATCTGACGGTACACTGAGTACCCGAAGTTCTTGTACATTCCCTTAGCTACATCGTTACTTACTCTTACGAACAAGTCCACAAAGTAACATTTCTGGTTCTGAGAAGTTAAGTGGTTAGTGAAAGTGAAAGTTGGTTAAAATAATGCTAATACTTGCTTAGTAATACTTGTAACAGTTGTTTAGTCATACTAATTTAATCAATTTCAGTTTGTTGAATATCGATCCTACTTTTCTCAGTATAATTTATACAATGTAATAAATTAAATCCCATATTATTAAAATATTAGTATGATCCCTATGATTCTAAAAAGCTGAAGAGCTGTTTTTACTCCAATATTAGATGAGGTAAAATGAAAGAATGCACCATAATTATTGCAAAGAGTGTAAAACGTATGTGTAAACGTAGATTTTACGAGAGGTTGGTCAGCCCACCCCAACTTGTGGGGTGGACTGGAACAGCAGTGATGTGGGGCAGTGATGTGGGGGAGTGTAACACGTGACTACAGAGAGTGCATCTTAATGTTCTCCAACTGTGCAGTACATTGAGATGGGTGAAGTAATAGTGATGTTAGTGATGTAAGCTGAGGTGAGGATATTAATACGGGCAGGCAGCACAGGAAGAAGGGGATTTAGATTGGGAGCTAGAAATGGAGAACTAACTGATGCTAAAGATTGTTACTCTAACGATGGGAATACTATAACTCTATAATATTTGGGGCTATGTATATTTGAATAAAAAGTTTAAGCTAACGAAGGGGTACCATTCATTAGCCAATAACGGTAGATTTATTAGTTTTCAGGCTAGTCAGGTAGGACTGAGAAATAAACAGACATTCCTTGAGGTAGAGGCTTACTAAGTGTTTTGCTGCTAAGTTCCTTGCTTCTTGAGTAGAACATTGTTTTCAATGGTTGCAATACCTATGAAGTATCCCAATCCCCATCGACCGTCTTCTTTTGCAAATCTACTTTTCTAGTGTGTTTTTACTTACAATAACCACGGCGTAGTCATTTACTGCTAGCATTGTGTAGTTAACGTCAAACATCGTGTATTATCCATTATGTCATAGGTTTCGTAGATTTTTTAAAGAATTCAGTAGGGACTATGGGTGGAAGATGAATAATTGAAATTCCAACAGCATATCTTGTTCCCTTCATTGTGCTGATTCCGAGAAGCATTCTGTTTACGCTCTCACCATTCTGTAGAACGAGATATCGTTCATTTTAAATTGGGTAATTATAGGCCTGTCATTTGTCAAGGATTGCAGCCCAATTAAGAGCTGATCAATTGCAGCTCCTTGTGCCATATAAGGGATAACTGAGGTCACGTGACAGTCGGTCCTATCACGTGACCTTGATTCGTTAACCCTCGAGCACGTGATCACGTCGTATGCCGACTAGGATATTTTGTGACGTCACCAGAGCTCAAGTTACTTGATCAGGCCTTATATGGAGTAATGCAGTGTTTCGTGTGTAATTGGACCCAATTAGAGGAGTTGAACGCTAAATTATAGCCAGGAGGTGACCGGGATTCCCGGTTCCGGGAATCCTGGTTCCGGGATTGGCAATTTTGAGCTATCCCGGTCCCGGTCAAATGCTGATTTATTTATTTATGATCCCGGTCCCGGTTAATTCGGGATTCTTGGTCCCGGTCCCAGTCAATCACTCAAATTTGCCGGGATTTTGACCGGGATCTTTTACATAATTTCATTCACTGTGATTTTAAGTTTTTCTCATTCATTGTGAATTTCATCTTTAAACATCCTCTGAGCCAAATACAACAATGTTTAAAATTGCTGAACAAGTTTGAGTAATAAATTATGATCATGAATTAACCAGTAATCGACCGGAATTCCCGGTACCGGGAATCCCGGTACCGGGATTGGCAATTTTGAGTTATCCCGGTCCCGGTCAAGTCACATTTTTCATCCCGGTCCCGGTCCCGGTAAATTGATAATCTCAGGGGATCTCAGTCCCGGTCCCGGTCCCGGTCAAGTCACATTTTGTATCCCGGTCCCGGTCCCGGTCCCGGCCCCGGTCCCGGTCAGGACTCAGGCCTGAAATCATGTCCCGGTCACCTCCTGTTTATAGCAGCATCTGGTACCACCTTCTGAAACCCAGCAGACAGCTGGCCGAGAGAATCGAAAATAGAAGGATTTTTTATGGATGAAAATCGAAGGGAAAACCTTGTAACCCTACATTTTCGATGACGTTAAACAAAATTAAACTGGTCATAATTATCATACTCTCGTGTAAATTGCTTTAAAACGTACTTGAAATTTAAATGATGATATCAATTGTAATACAATTTGTACAATAAGCTGAGCTGCTTAACGGCTGGTATTCCTGGGCCGCGCTCATCCCAGCTTTTCATTCCACCTAGCAGCTTCACTGTTTGTGAATATTAAAGCCTGGGGTCCCCAGGTAACAGATGGCACCGCTATCTCTGCATAATCTCAGTTTTTTGTAAATAACGAAGCCTCTAGTTCACAGCCAATGAGCGGGCTTATGAAGGAAAGATCTCGAGTTGAGAAGACGTAAGAAATTTATCCAAATATTTGCTAAAGATTCAAACGAATACGGATAACAACCAATATCGAGAAGGACTCTTAAATAAATGCTGTCTCAACCCCAACCCCAACCCCAACCCCAACCTCAACCTCAACCCCAACCCTAACGTCAACCACAACCCAAACCCAAACCCAAACCTCAAAATGCGAACTTTAGGATTTCAAATTGTCTGTCAGGGCCCTCTAGAGAAGGTGTGAACGGCTTCTGCTTTCCAGTGAAGATTTGTTATATGAATCCTACACCCACGTCCCACACTAACAATGTGGGGTGAAATATAAAAGAATAAAACTGAAATGTTCCCCAGCATGAATGGGCCCCTTTTACAGTGCAACATTGAAAATGGAGGATTTCGCATCAATTTGCTACCAAAGCGAACGGGATAGAGGACGTTAGTTCGACGTGCACTCTAGTTCGACATGTACTATGTTCGACAAACCCTTGAGTTCGACTGTCGAACTAGAGTTTTGAAATTTTCGATCTCAAGCGAGATCCTTTGCGAAGTCCATTCGTTTGTTAATTGTTTGTTTTCCACTTGTCTCATGTTGTTCAACTGTGTGTGAGTGTGAATGTAATCTAAACAGGCGCTGCCTGATTGAGGTAATTAATTACTGGTGTTTACCTGCCCTGTAATTCCATTCAATGGAGTTACAGGGCATGTAAACACCAGTGGCGTACATTTCCTGTTGGCGCCACTGAGGTAAACACCAACTTTTCAGATCAATTCAAATTGTCTCAATCAACTTACATTCACACATTAGTCGAACAACATGAGAAAAGTGTAAAATAAAAACAAACTGAGTCTAGAGAATTACTAAAGTGACTCAATTTCAAGATGTTGAAGGATTGTGATGAATCCAGCGTACTGCGTAGGTATCCCATATCCGCGCTTTCCCAACATCCAAATCCTACCACAAGCTTCATGATCATCGCCTGGAATTGTAATTGAGGGATCGTCTTTTTTTCTTTACTTTGCATTTGTTATATTCCTGTATATGTAATAATGTGGACGATTTCTTATAGTTATATTTGTAGTTATATACGAACTATTTCTTATTTCTCTGGAACCAGTTGAACAATGTAATTGTGCAAGCGTGATCTAAATCACTCTACACTCGAACTTCAAGATTTTTTAAGAAATGCCCCCGAGTCCCGACACTGCTTCAAGAAGGGCCCCCGACACTGCACTTGAACCGATGTACTTTCATACGCTAATTCCGAATCACCCCGCATGACATTATAGGTTAAAATTCGCCCCTGGCGAGATATCGGCGAAAAACTGTCACGATCACGTGATATGACCATATAAGGAAGTTGATATAATTTCTCGTTAGGGTTCAGGATGTTCTTCAGTTAGGAATTTGGTTAAGGTTAGGGTTGGAATCAAATTATAGGGTTAGGGTTTCGATTGTCATACGTTGTATGACCCGCAGCGCACGAGTGCGCGGCTCCCCCTCACGACGTGATACACTATTACAAGGTTTCGAATAGTGATTCAGGGCCATCTGGAGAACGTGTCAAAAGAAGTCACGTGATAGTCCAGTATAGAGTGATTAATCATCATTGATCATCCATAATTGTGTTCGAATGAAAATAAGATTAAGAATGCTGGTGTTATTACTGTTTCCCTTTTGCCCTCATATCAGCCACAGTGCTACTGCTAGTGCTCCAACATTTTTAATGGAAATCGATTCTTCACATCAACGTTATTCATATTGATCATTACTCCTCTTTTCGTTAGATTGAAGTTTTAACAATCGTTACAGACTGTTCTGAATTGATAATACTAATAGCACTGTCGAGTGTAGCCGTAGGAGGACGTCGTCGCTTCGACGCGCATTATCATGCTTGCTTCGCTTAATTGTTAATTGTTAATCTTCGCTGACGATATCGTTGCAAAGCTACGTTATGGAAGGGTTGGCATCGTCAATCAAATAGCATTGTTGTACTTATTTTTATTTAATAGCTCAACTTAATATTAATGATCAGGCACCCATAAGATGATTTTTCGGGACAATTAGGATTTAAAAGATATTAGGATTTAAGATATTGCCATTTGTAGTTTTACAAGACATTCGTTAATATAATTTACTAATTAGTCTATGTAATAAGCGCCATGAGTTGGCACAGAACTTTTTGTCCCTGATTTTGATAAATTTGGTACCAAAAGTTCCCTCTAAGTGTGAATAATGCAAATTCACCGTGTAGCAAAATAACTTCGAGCTGTATGTGGGCCTCCTGTGCATTGCAAGAATGTACAAAGGACGAAAAATGGGTAATTTATTGCTTAAAATACCTTTAACTCTTAAAATATTAAATATTATGAAATAATTCTTACAGGATCGTAATGATATTACATTATTATGCCAGACGCACCTTTTGGTACCAAAATTATAATATTTGAAGCACCAAATAATTTTCCTTTTAATCTTAAAATATTAGCACTAAAAGTTTCGTCTCGATGAGCTGATTACGATGTCATAATATTTATGTGATAATAACTGAAAACGTGAAAGTTAAAGGCCAAAAACTAAAAATTTGCGCGAAAAAAGCACGCGCGGCAAACAAGCAAATCAAACCGGCTGGAGAGCTTAGAATCGACTTGTACATCATTAATTCATTGAATGAGCTGATAATCATTTACTTTAAAAATTACATTAAAATGATATTCATCCCGAATTTTATCTAAATCTATCGTCGGTAAATGACAAGTCCTAACAAGAGAACTCCCCAGCTGAAGATGGCTCAGAGTATTTGTACAGTAGTTCTCCTACTTGTTATATGTGGCTCTACAGATGCAGTCTGGTCAGTGTGGGCTAACACTGGCTGGTACATGATCCCTGAAAAGGAAGCACACTGCCCGGATGGCCAGAAGGTTTTGGAGATGAATTGGAGCTACCAGAATTGGTACGGACTGATAGACGTATGGTTCAAATGTAGTAACGGAGGTACCTACACAGTGACACACAATGATAACGGTAGTTGGGGGGATAACTCGGTCTGTAGCTCTGGATTCAACTTTCTCATGACAAGGGAGCAGAGCGGATACGGTGTCGTTAACGCTAGGACCAAATGTGATGGCAAGAATCTTAGCGACGGCACAAACTACAATGGAAAATGGGGCAGGGTGCTGCGTTGTACGGGTGGTAAACAAATCACCGGCTTCGGAGTCAAGGAACAATCTGGGTATGGCATCATTAATGTAAGGATAAGCTGCAACTAAGTTATCTTAACACTGTCAGGTCTTGCATAGTGTACTGGTAGATCAAAAGGAAATGTCGAAAAATTCAAAAAGTAAAAATTGAAAAGAAAAGATACTTGTCACTGTCGATTGTCGAATGTCCATTTAAGCTGATATTGCTGATTGCATGCTGAATTGATTGACTATTTAGGGTGTTATTTTAAAACTTACGTTTATGTTTCAAATTTCATCTAGTATGAAAAATGTTAACATGATGGATGAGAAGTTTCTTTAAGTAACAAACAGTTATTTGGGATTAAATGTACCTCAAGTCTTTATTTTATCTTTTAAAAAGTTAAAAGGAACGTAATTGTCTCCAACAAATTTGACCTTTTTTAGCAAGTTGTTCTTTTATTTACTCGATTCTAACTGTTACACTGCATATTATTCTGAAACACTTTCACTATCACTACTCCAAAACAATGAAGTTTGTTGAAATATAAGAATCATAAAGCTTCAAAATAGGCAAAATCTGGCTAAAGCAATATCTGAATTAGAATTATAGATTTTACAATGCAATAATTGTGTCAGATTGTTAAAAATAAATAAACGAATCGATCGGGGTTACTCAAAGCACACTCTTGAAGTAAACAAATTATGTTATCACTCCCACAAATCTTTGATAAAATGAATGATCCCTTGCTGTACTGACCTCGCTAATTTTCTCGAGTTGGTCCATGAGAGTATGAGCAATGCCCAGTCTTCTGAACTGAGGGGAGACTGTGAGAGTGGTCACGTGGCCGTGCCATTCCTCAGCTTGTCCTTCTGACTGGGGGCATATGAGCGGTTATATGGTTAGAGTAGTGATAACACTCGAAACGTTATGCAGTGGTGAATATTAACAAAATATCTTACAATAAATCATAACAGCTAGACTACTAGCTAGACCTAACTTACTTTTCCCAGAATGTACCCCATTATTTGCCCAGAAGGACTCTCAGCGACAGTGCAGTACTCAGGCCAGTTTACTAAATACTGAAATTACAAATGATTAGCAAACCAATTAGCAGCGCTCAAACTGATGGATAGTCACAAATTAACATGTGTTTCTTCTACTGAAATGCATGGTAGATTGAAATGAGACGTACGTTACGTGCGCGCGCAAAACTCAAACGTTATAATGAAGCGCATTCCATAAATTACAAAAATAGTGTGACCGCCTCTGAGCAAACTATGTATTCTCGGTAGTCGGTTTCCCGTTTCAGTGACACTACGTATTTGCCTATTATCGAGCTATCATAAGTATTATTTAAATATTGGGAACATTATTTAAATATTGGGAACGCTTTGATAACCGTAATCGATAACGTAACGCGTCACGTGTAGCTACAACAAATGCTCCATCACGTGACGCATTATATTCTAGCAAGACGGTACGTGACGTATCACATATTTAATGCGTCACGTCACGTACCGTCTTGCTAGAACGAAGACTGCATCACGTACTCAGAACGTCACGTCTAGCTAGAACAAATACACCATCACGTGATCCGTCACGTACCGTCTAGCTAAGGTCTGACAACTTCTGGGGTTTACAAGCTATCGTTATGCATCATTAATTATACAAAAATGAAGACCTTATAGTCTTCCGTAAGGGCTGCAATCACCTTCGGATAGCCTAGCTGGTTGCATACCTATGTTTTTTATACCATGTCGACGGTAAAGCTGCAGGAGAGCACCTCTTCCACGTTGGTATCTAATAATACTACTACTACTACTGCTACCAGTATTATTTTATCTTAACTAACCTATTCTGACTTAAGCTATTAACAACTATAATTGAAATCAACTATCGAGAATTAAGCAAGTTATTAGCTCAAACATAGATGGGCGCAAGCTGCGGGACAATTTTAGTAAAAAACTTAAAACGTCTTCAGATGGTTTACTATACGTATTAATATTATTGGTTTACCTTCATAGCAATTACTTTAATTATTATATACCAAACAAATACACTGAACCACTCTGAAACAGCCACATTTAGATGGGGCAAGCGGGCCGCGAATGAGGGCAAGAAATGCGGGTGGGCCACAAATATTCAGAATACATCGCCTATCTAATCAATTACTTTCGTAACTAGAACGAAATTTATTAAAACTTATGAACATAGCATGCAGCAATTTTCTAATACATTACCTGCAAATAAAATGAAGTTCCATAGTTTTCTGTTAGAGGGTCGAAATTAACTCTATTAAAGCGAAATAAGTCCTTGCAGGTGAATGGTCTCAAAGTGCACATGACCTACAATAAATTATATGTTAGCACCAGACATAAATTATCAAAACCAATAGAGCGGAAACTTTGTAATATTATCGCTTCTAAATCTGAATCTAACTCATATGAGCGACTCTGAAACAAAGATATTAAGCACTTATTGGGGTTAACAATTATCCAATCTGTAACAAGAGAATTAAATTTCTGGCGCGGTTTTAATAATAAAATATCTTTATCCCTCCGATTTACATTTACAATCACCACATTTAGTCCTTGATCCCGTTTTGTAATGTCTCAATTCAATATTTTGCTTCATACAGTACGCGTACGACACTGCCTGAATTGCTGTCTTCTTGTTTTTAAAGTTCCCTTCCATTGCGAAAGTATCGTTGTCTATTTTAAGGAATCCAGTAAAAATCCTATTGGAATCAGTTGTCCAGAATGTTGGTTTCGTAAAACCGTTGATTTCCAGCCACTGATTCAATATCTGCTTTGGTGCTATCTTGCTTCTGAAATGTTTCACTTTTACATTTAAACAACTCATTTTTCATAGTAATTATTAGTAATTATATTATAGTAATTATTAGTAATTATATAGAATGGTAAATGTTTCCTCATTGTCAAAATTTCGCTCGTTTTAAATGGTTGAATTGAATATGGTGTGGAGGCACACTCTCGAGGAACATTTTTGACGTTGTTGATTTCATATTCTCTCGATTTTTCTCTACACCAATGACACTGCGACTAAAGGCATTATTGTAACGGTATATTAGAACCAGACAAAAACTGTCTGGTTTTCTGTTGCAGTGTCATTGGTGTACAGAAAATTCGAGAGAATATGAAATCAACAACGCTCATTTTTAACGAAAATGTCTGACAGTCCTATAATGATCACAAAAAAGAGTACCATTTAAGTTGCAGCTGGGGACTAATTCAAATAGAAAGGGAACTTTTAAATGATTTACGTTTAATGGACTGTTATTATTGACATTGTGTTATTTCTTTTTGTTCCAAAAGGCTAAAGCCAACAATTATCTGTATGATAATATCAACTTCTAAAGTACAAAGTTTTGTTACATAGTTCATTTAGTTTTGCTGTACGAATGCAGATCAATTTGTCAAAATTAAAAGAGGATATGCAGTACGTTTTTGCAATTAAAGCCTTCACTGCTGGCAAACTCGGGTTCTTCTTAAACTATTTGTTAAGATGCTGTTTCTTTATCTAAAAAATGTATCCTTATCAATACGATCAAAACGATGTGATATCTATCGTAATATCGTATGAATGGTAGGTTCTCATATTATAATGAACCTGAAAGACTGAAGAATGGGAGGGGTGAGTTCTTCCTCCAATATTTTGTAATCTTGTCCTAACTTTTGACGTTTGTTTCTCTGGAACTCCTCTTGGATATTGTCACTTCTCCTACTCTTCACTTCGTCGTAACTGAGTTTCATAATATTAAAATAAAAGAACTTCTGTAGATTTTTTTAAAAAATCGCTAGATTTGGCAAGGATATTCCGTTTCCCTCCGGCGAAATAGATAGAGTTAAACTGGATTAGTCAAATTTTGCTTTGAAATGTAAAACAGGTTTTCTGAATTTCTGAACCTATGATTTGATTGTGATCAGACGAGAAAAGTAAAATGCAATGACTACTGTCAAAAGGACAATACCAACATACTAACAAATAGCACACGTACACCTGCACCTTCTCTATTTTATTGTTCTGTTCAAATCGCTAAATAGATTACATTGGTTATTATGGATTTTCATTCGATTCTGCTGCCAAATGTTTTAATTTCGAAGCGCGCAAGAAATTGAGAATTGGGTTATGGCTTTTGTTAAAGAATAGCAGCGAATTAGATCAAGTTGTCAAATCTTGTAGCGATGAAAACCACCTGTTTATGTTTACGTGGTATATAAACCAAGGTTAAATCTCTCCAAATACTAAATCTAACACTGTCCACCACAACGCTCTACTACTCTCAAAAAAATGGTACTGCTCTTATCACCCTCTGCCTGGTTGCTGGTGCAATCTCGCATGAGACTTCTCTCTCGCAGATCCTACAGTCCCCTTCTGCAACTCTGAAACTCTACCGAGATTACAAGACCGAACAACAGCTCAACTACAAATCCTCTGAAGACAGGATGCGATTCAGACTGTTCCAGAAGAACGCACAACTGGTAGCCGGTGCTAACTCCGAACTTGGGGAAACTGCTGAGTACGAGCTTAACTTCTTCTCCGCGATGACGGAGGATGAGAAGAAACAGTGGTTAGGACTGAACGTGACTGAGCATCTTCCTAACACGGACATTTCATTCTCAAAACTGAGAGCTCCCAAAGAGAAACTCTGGGTTACGGAGGGTGCAGTAACAAAAGTCAAGAATCAAGGTGGTTGCGGATCCTGCTGGACTTTTGCAGCAGTAGGAGGATTGGAGACCTGGTACCAGCAGAAGTCAGGGAAACTGAGGAACTTTGCTGAGCAGGAATATCTTGACTGTACGTACGAGGGAGAGAAAGATGGCTGCAAAGGAGGATGGCCAGATGATGGATACGAGTACTCGGCTAAGAAAGGTGGCAGACTCGCTGCTACCGGCGACTACCCGTACAAAGCTAGCGATGGAGCCTGCAGGAGTGATACAGTTCGTAACGGAGCAGTTTCTCACAAGATCACTGGGAGTGTAAGAGTAGGCTCTAACGAACAGTCCAACATACAGGCTCTAGCTGATGGATCCCTCTCCATGGCATTTGAAGTGACTGGAAAGTGCCAGCAATACCGAGGTGGTATCCTGAGGGACAACACCTGCCACGGAGCCGTTAACCACGGTGTCACCGGCGTTGGGTACACCGAGCATTATGTGCTGGTGAAGAACTCCTGGAGTAGCAAGTGGGGGGATCACGGCTATGTCAAGTTTGCACGAAACCATGACAACTGTCAGCTCTTCAAGTACAGCAGCTACGCTCAACTTGAAGCTACAGGGCAGGCAGACGAGGGTGGAGATGATGAAGCAACAGACTACGACCCACACGGACCCACCCCTGCACCCACCCCTGCACCACCCTGTAAAGACCGGGCTCACAACTGCGAGAAGGAATGGTGTCCACTCAACCAGCTTATCCGCGAGAGGGACTGCAGGAAAACGTGTGGTACTTGTGGAGGTGACGAAGAAGAAGAGTGTTCGGACAAACACAAACATTGTCAGACTGACTTTTGCAAATACTCAGACTTCTCCTCTGATTGGTGTAGGAAGAGCTGTGGGCATTGCAAAGAGAAGGAGCCTTGCAAGGACTCCCACGGGTACTGTGAGAAGGATTTCTGTAACTTCCCGGACTTTGCGAGGGATCAGTGCGAGAAGAGTTGTGGGTTCTGCGAGGACAGTGAGGACGAGTGTGCATCGGGAACAGTTAGGTGCCCTGACGGGGTATGCAGACACGAGCATATGTGCTAGACTTTGTGTTATCATTTAAATATGTCTGTGATTTAACAATATGAGTATGATGTAGAATGTTGATTAGTGATTCATCTATTTACCTTTATTAAAACATTGTCATAACTGAGTCTATTTAGGAAAAAATCAGAAATTTCCTTGAGAGAATCATCAAATGAGACTCAATAGTCAATAACACTGCACGACTCGAAGAGATAATAAGAGATTCGTAAATTACAGGAATTACAATCAACAGTAGAAATTAAGAATGGTACTCACTAATCCCCAAGTCCGAAGTACTGGTATATCAACTTGGCTTCAATATGTCTTGTAACCTCCAAACTGGTTGCACCATCTTTAAAAGCACCTCGGAATTTTCCCATAGTGTATTTTAATATGTGAAGAGAACAGTTGTAGTCTATACAGTACCTCATAAACGTCTGAACTGCCTGAAAACGTTTGAGTTTTTAAGTGGAAAGTTTTAGTTTTATGATTCCTATTTGTTAACTTCTGTGGTATTTTAAATCCTGTGCTCAGATGAACCTTCAATTTATATTTCTCTTCTTCAAAATATGATGAGCAAGATTCCTTTTTAATTTATTTGGAAAATTACTTCAAAACTTCCCAATTTTATATAATTTGCATAATCATTAGTGTCAGGAATGCTTTTGTACAGATCCACTACGGGACAGGAACTACAATTAGAAATCAGGATAGCGGCAAATAAAGGCTTATCAACTTAACTATTTGGCCATCTGCTATGACATCATAAAATTATCACATAAAATACAATAATTATACACAATATTAGTGTACAACTAGAATGTACACAGTAATAGGGTTGTACAACAATAATGTACACAGTAATAGGGTTGTACAACAAGAATGTACACAGTAATAGGGCTTTAAAACAATAATGTACATAGTAATACGGTTGTACAACAATAATGTACACAGTATTAAGGTTGTACAATGTACAACAAGAATGTACAATGTACACTTGTTCATGAGTCACAACACCTAGAGATGTCACTAAAATGCACTCTAGTACACAGTCCTCACGGGACAAGTGGGACACAGTTGTTAGAGTGTTATACGGTTGTTAGGGTGTTATACAGTTGTTAGGGTGTTATACTCCTCTTTATTGATGCTTATGTATCGTCTACAATCATATTTATTAAGTTTGTGGTTTGTTAAATGTTTCCAACAGTTGGTCCGTCTTCGTACTTTGTAATATTCTGTATTACCAGCTGCGGGTCCAAGAGTAGAATAAGATGCGGTGGTGGAGAAAAAGAACGGAGACATTCAAGAACATTTTAGTGATAATACTTTTGTCACTACTGTTACTCTCACAATACACCATCTATTGGACTCCGTTATATCAGACTATATCTGCTGTAAACACAACTAACACCAGACTATACTTTGAGACAGATCACAGCTACAAACAGCGCCTCCAAATACAAGATAAACTACTGTACGGTGCACATTTAAAGAGAGTAGGGGAGGATTACTTCAACCCACGGGAGGGTTACAACGAGTCCTTCCTAGACGCGCTCCCCCTCCTCCGAGAGAATATTCCAGACTTCAGACCCCCCATCTGTGTGAATCAGAGTTACAAAACCAGTAACACTAAAGTGTCTGTTATTATCAACTATCACAACGAGTTGTTGTCGCTTCTATTGAGGTCAGTGTACAGTGTGTTAGCTGCAATACCGGCCCACAACCTCAGGAGGTTATCCTGATAGATGACGCTAGTAACCTGACCTCGCACCACGAGCTGCGCGAGGTGAAACCTCTGCTCTCAACACTTGCAGTCAGTGTGAAGTTCTACAGGTGGGAGGAGAACAGAGGGCTGATATACAGTAGGAGGTGGGGGGCGCAGCAAGCTACAGGAGCTGCAGTCCTCGTTTTAGACAGTCACGTTGAGGTGAAACCTGGTTTCATCGAGCCGCTTCTCTCGCTTGTTGATGCTAACTACAAAACTATTGCAGCACCTGTCTTCAACTTTTGGGAGACATATGATCACAGAGATGTCTACTTATCTTACGATGGTACCGCACTGGGGTTTGACAGGTATCTCAACTGGATATTTATAAATCGTCCTGTTGACGGACGGAACTTCCCTACTCCTGCTATATTAGGAGGAGCCTTCCTGGCTAGTAAACAGTTCCTGGAGGAAGTAGACTATTTCGGTAGAGGGATGGTGGGGTGGGGGTATGAGAATATAGAGCTGGGCCTCAAGACCTGGATGTGCGGGGGTGTGGTTCAGTACGTGCCCTGTTCCAGAGTGTTACACTATTCCGCACAGCGTACGCCTATGTCTCACGGCGACAGAGCCCAGGCGTCCCATCCCTTCCTCAACGCGGCGATTGTAATGAAATCTTATTTCTCAGAGGACCAGTTCCTAGAGTTTGATATGAACATGCAGGTTAACGCTAGTATGATAAACACTGCTGACGTTATTAAAGCTAACAGAGATATGTTAGCTAGAAACAAGTGTTCACGTGACTATGGGTGGCTCCGGAGGCACATAATGCCGCATCTGGAGTCGTACGACAAGGAAACATCAGTAGCACACGTCATGACAACAAAGGGACAGTGTGTTACCGTGGATCTAGAGGGTGAACATGGTGACCAGGTCATGTTCCTAGAACCGTGCTCCACTCCTAAAATAATTATCAACATGATGAGGTTAACGAGGTGGGGAGAGTTAAGGATGTATGACAGGAGGTGTTTGGACTGGGGGTACGAGACTGTGAGGTTTGTGTTGTGCCACGGGGAAGGCGGTAATCAGATCACCAGGTTTAACAAGAATACCGGCCAGATTTCTAACATATCCTCCACACATTGTTTGGGGAGAGTTAAGGGAGACACTTCCTTTAGTAAGGGTCCTTGCGTTGAGGACCGTTATGATAATAATAAACACTTGTTATTTACTGTGGGTAACTTTCAGTTCAAAATAGTTTTCAATGAAACTATGTTGGTGGGTGGACTGCAATTGTTTGAAATACCAGACTCTGATAGAAAAATATTTCATTGATTATTTTATTTAAGTTAAATTATTGATTATTTATCATTATCATTATAGCCCTTTGTTTAATGGGAAATAAGTTTGTATAGAACTGATGAATGAATTTCACTAAATTAATTTCACATTTAATAGTTGTCTCATATCGGTGGTATTGCCTTCGTCTTAGCTCAAAGAACAGCTCTCTTTGCAGAAAATCAGGTCCTCTAAATAAGGCCTCTTACATACCTAGATATTGTAGTTAGAGATGCAGAAATTGAAAGCAGTAATCTACCGAGTAACCGAGCGTTATGATCGTGCAGTTTGGAAGAAAATCGTTGAGGAGATTTCTATCGTGGATCGTTCAAATTAAGTTAAGTAAGTTTTGGTGGTATTCAGATTCGTCTTGACCTTGTTACCGGAATAATTCCCAAATGATGATTCAATAGATTACACAGTGAAATGAGAGTAGAAAGTACGAACCTCTCTAACAGGAGCTGGTTCAGGATCCCTGAATATAGAGGGATTGTACCAGGCGGCGCGCGCCACCATTATACTATCCGCTCCTGTCTCCTTCATCAGCCCAGTCATGTCACCTTTATTACTGAGGGAGACAGTGGTAATTAGTGTTAACTGGCTATATTAGTGAAAACCAAAGAATTATAAATAATTCACAGTAAATTGAAGCAGTAATCATCGGACCAGCTAACTCCGGACCATAACCAGCATGATAACAGCATAACATTATCGGAAATTTACAAAAAAAGTGCCGAAAGTTTGATGGTAAAGTTTCAGGGTGCCGGAATAAAATGCAACATCTTTAAAACTGTCGCTGGATATCAGATGCATGGCTCTGTAGTCTATTAGTCGGGGATAGTGGTGAGAAATGTTGTACGGCACGTGACAACAATTGCCAACTCAAAACCCGGGCTCACAGTCACGTGTCAAAACAAATATAATGGTTAACGCCCCTGCCAGTATTCAGATCTTTAGCCTCGCATGATTACCTCCATAAGATATATAACAGAGTCTATATCATACACGCTGAGAGTGAACCACTAAAACCCGCTACTTCAACAACTGTATACCACGTCTTGCAGCAAAAACGATAGTATTGTCTGACTTTATCAGTCCTCTTATGTCTCTACTGGGTGCTCGAAGCTAGATAATGAACGTTCCTTTTCGTTTTCTTGTTTAAGTAACGCCGATTTAATAATTTTCGGACCAACCTATTCCGGCCATTTATGTTTCAGACCATTCAACTCCAAAAAAATTGCCCAAGTTTCTAACTCGTCCGGGAAATGGGGATGGGAGTTTCGCAGAACAGTAGTTTGTCATTACAACGGTACTGTATAATAATGATCGTTTGATTAATCATATGACCGTGATATAAATATACCCCATCTCATTTTCTTTTTCATTTCATACAGTCGTGTTTAGCAGTTGCTCATTAATCTGCCTAATTGAGATTCTAGATAGTACCATTAGTTGAACTAGTTGAGCGTTAAAGTTAATGTTATAGAGACCTCAGACTTTCTGTATACTGTTAAGCGAACATTGAGCCTTAATCGACGTTCAAAGGATTAAGTGAGCTACCCATTAGAAGCACAAAGAAAGTCTCGCACACTTACCCTCGCACAGTGCTCACTTACCCTCGCACAGTGCACACAATCACATACGCACACTTGCTCTCTTACCACCCTTAGAGTTTTACTGATCTGTGAAATTGGCTGAAAGTTTACTTATTACTAATACCATTATTATATTATTTATTTTCTTGCCGATACAGTTATCAAGAGCAGGTCTATATTTAGCACAATGCCAACGCGGTTGTTTTCTATTCTAAATCAGTAAATCTGTTGCATGAGTTTAACCATATTATTCTATCTAAGAACAAAATTTGAAGGACAGATAGATAGTAGATCGGAAGGATGGTGGTTAAATATGTGCACAGTGCAATCAGCTGTTGTATGAACTGACTAGTCACTAGGTGTATGAAGTAGGTATAATGAATATCCAATAGAATAACAGAAATTATGTTCTATTATTTCCTTATTATAAACAAAAGCAAAGCTTGACGAATGACTCAAGCTCTGCTTTTGTTCATTAATTAAACTTTTAAATTTCCGTATTTTGCTTATAAGACAAAGAGTCTCACGAAAACAACACAGCTATTGTTTGTAGGTTTGTAGCTATTGTATTGGGCTTATCTGTTTGATAGTAATAAAGTTTTCTTAATTTCTCTCTCTCTCTCTCTCTCTCTCTCTCTCTCTCTCTCTCTCTCTCTCTCTCTCTCTCTCTCTCTCTCTCTCTCTCTTGATTAACGTTTACGTCTTGTAGTTGTACTTTAGTCCAGGAAATAAGCAGATTAGAATATTTTAACCTCCGAAAACGTGGGCGGTCGTACAGACAGACAGACAGAATAATTCCTTGAATTATAATAATGACTAGAAAGCCCGTGGTAACAGGGATAAAGCTAGTAGTTATCTATTTCTTTGGCAGTCAGTTTTAATCGCATCAAAAAGTATTCATCCCCACCGAAGATACAGCCGATTTAAATGTAGCTCGCACTAAACACAACGTAATTACCACAAAACCGATAAAAATTACGTTAAAACAATCATTGCACGTGTATGTGCGCGTTTCAACACCATTACCATGGTTATTGGTTATGTAACTTCCTATTTCTCATCTGATTTGAGAAATAGCTAAATGTAATAAAATAGCTAAATGTTTTAACCCATTAGGGACGATAGGGTCGTTTTTATGACCCACCTTTTCTAGACGAAAAACCAAATTACTAAACGCTATAACGAATCTATAGCATATATACTCAAAATTTATTGGGCTTCATTATATGTAGCCCAATAAATTTTGAGTATATATGCTATAGATTCGTTATAGCGTTTAGTAATTTGGTTTTTCGTCTAGAAAAGGTGGGTCATAAAAACGACCCTATCGTCCCTAATGGGTTAAGCATCATCTAGAGAGGTGATAACCGTCGAAAAATCGCTTTTAACCCGAAAAGCTAGCGAGTTCCCCTTTTGTCTCGGACTATTTCCATGTATTTTGAAATCTGTTGTCCATTTTTGGTCCATTTTTTCCACCCTATTTTTGTCCACCTTGAAAATATAGGGTACCACATGGACAAAAAAACATGATCCCCCTCATGTTTACAAAGCATTACAACTATATAACCTCCATTTAACAAGTGTACTAACGTGATATCAAGTGAAGCTCCATTCAGTATAACAGGAATAGTAATCTGTGCCTTGATTGCCTTGATAATATCGTAATTACAGGCGTGCGATGAGCGAGTGTATCTGGTTCTGCCGTGTACAGTGAGAGCTGCAATCCCCGTACTTGCTATCTCTTTACACAGCGCCACTGTTGCTTCCTCCTGGTCATTAGGGTATTGTTTAGTGGCGCTCACAGTGAAAGTGAAAGTGAAAGTGAAAGTAAAAGTGAAAGTGAAAGTGAAAGTGAAAGTGAAAGGGGTGAGTGGTACAGTCAGTCTGGGGCTTGCTCATTGCTGATTCATAATTCCCAGGACTCACTTTAGCATTCTCATCCATCAACCAGAAATAGATGACCAAATTGTTCCGTAACATAAAATTCTCACCTATATTTAATTACGACGTAAAGATATAACCAGCAAAAAGGCTTCAGCTTGCAAATTGATAGTAAATGATCTGAACCACTCTAGGAGGCAAATAATAAGGAGAATATTCTCACAGGAAATCATAAACTATAAGTTATAGTATGTAGTAACTAGTTGATAACTTGTCTTGTTTTCATCATACTCGTAAAGTATTAAGTAAGTAGGCGTTACGCAATCTGCTAGTAGTAGTTTCAATAATTTCACAAATTTCACTAATCAGACTTTGGATAAGTCTGATGATAATTGCCTGAGAAGACCGCTCCGTAAGTCCAAGTAGCAAGCAGCGGCGGGTTAAAAGCCCCAAACAGTTCTAGTCTCTAGTCATAACAACACGATACCATGTTTTGTGCTATTCCATCTGCATTCTGCACACGTGATAAATTCGGAAACATCAAAGTGCGTTTGGGGAGAGCATCAGCATTTATTTGCTTGCTTTGAGCCCGTCTCTTAATTGTGGCCAACTTATCAGAACGTTTGGCTCATTGCGTTTAGATTTGATATCAGTTTACTGAATTGATCCTAATATTTTGTGCTATCAGCTGTATTGGTTTTTGACTTTTGATGGTTTGTACGAAATAACATTACTGTAATTAGTGTAATGGCTCAGTGAAATCATCTTTCGCCTTCATCTAGTGTCTACCCTACTCGTGTCTCGTGATATAAAAACATCGCTAGTTTGTCATCTAATGTGTAATCTCATGTGTTATCTCATGTGTTATCTCATGTGTCTAGCTAGTTTAGTGTACGTAGTTTGTAGATGTGTCTGTCAATAAGTACTCACAGTTTTAAGTATTCTGATTTTGCAAGTAACTGGTTTGGAGCAAACAGAAACCAGTTTACACAGTATCTTCTTGATGAGATCAGGTTGAGAGAGGAGGGCAGCCCCCATGTTCCCTTTTATGGAGTAGTCCTTGGGGCAGCCCATGTTAACGTCGATACCTGAAGGTACATTACATGTTAAGATCAGTATTACGTCATATTAGTTAGGTGGGATTATGTAGGTGTATTATGTGGATATGATTACATAACTTTATAGTTGAGGGTGGATAATTGGGCCATAATACAACCACGTTGGAATGATCAATGATCCTCAATCACAATATTGAGTTGACCAATATGATTTCATTTGACGCCCCTTACGTCGTCTTTGAACTTTGTTAAGAGTCTGATAGCGTATTGCACTGCATGAGTTTGGAGGTTACAGATAAATTATGTATTGGGATGAAAATGATCGGCCTTTAGATAAGACATGAACCAACGTGGTCTCTGTCACATTTCTACTGATTTCTAGAAATATCTAACACATGTAACAATACTACTCAAGAAACCCGTTAGAAGTTTCACACTCACGTGACTATTTATACTCAGATGTACAGTTATAATAGTTACTTCTAGTGACTTCATCTTCATTACTTTGTTCTTTTCGCAACATTTTTAGAACGACTACTAGTGAATATTTCCATGATGGCACGAGCTTTTTCTTCTTTTTCTACTTTTAATGTGGCCAACATTTCAGAAAGTTTGACTCATTGGCTTTGAATTGTAACTACTTATACTTACAGTTATCGCGGCGTTTAAATTATCACCTTTTGTTTTCACAGCGTTTTTAGACCTAGTTACATGAGCTATTGAAGGGACCGCAGTGGCGCTGAGCTCCTCAGTGAGCAGGGTTCCTTTTGTTACTGACAATTATCTGGAAGGTGGTCCTTGATGGAAACTATTTCCTGACAGCTTGCGCTGGAAATGAGACTGTAATTAACAATATCCCACGAGAAACATACTGATTATAAAGTTATACATAATCAAGTTTAAATACTGATTTCTCCTTGTTAGATTTACTGTGAGTAATATTAACGACACTGCACTTTTTTCAGCTGCTAGCTTTACCAAGTTTCTCCATACCGCCTTGTTATTTATTAACACCTTCGCTTTATTTCGTGCTATATTATCACAGCAGCTCCAAATTATTAACATATTATTATTATCACGTCTCTGTATTTGCTTCAGCTGGCTCATAATTGTACTTTAAATAACAACGCGGTACGGTATGCTGCATTTGTCAAATTATTCAAAATATTGAGTATACCTATACCCAGTATACAATGCGAGCAGCTCGGGTATTATCTCTTTAATTACCGTTTAAATGCACGTGACCTAATTGCACCCTGTTAAATAATTTATAAGTGCCGTGACAAACGCTCAATTACTACAAACAGCTTATATAGTGAGCCTATATTTTATCCACTGATGAAAAAATTCATATGAGACTAGTTTTAAAGTCTTGTAAATCAGTTCCGTGAGTGCTGAGTGCAGAGTGCTGAGTGCTGTTTGATATTTTTCCTATTTTTCAAACCCCTCTAGTCGGGAGTTCTGGCAAAATTGCCTAATAGGAGCTTCTATCTAGTCTTCTAGTCAACAAAGATCTATTTAACTTTTTTATTGAATATTTTATTTGCTATTTTATTTGCTATTTTATTTGCTATTTTACTATTTTATTGAATATTTCGGTCATACATCCGGATTCCGACGGCACTGTCGTGGCACTGTCGTGGCACTGTCGTGGCACTGTCGTGGCACTGTCGTGGCACTGTCGTGGCACTGTCGTGGCACTATGGCGGCAATCTCGCGGCACTATGGCGGCACTCTGGCGGCATAGTGCCAATCCGTCACCAGATCAGGATTGTAAATCACAAGGTTCCGACAAAGGGTAATGCTTTTATGACACCGTGGTTATTATGAAAAGATAATAATGAAGGTATAATGATTGTCTTATAATGCTTTTGAACGAGCATGATTGAAAGTTGGCACTATACCGCGAGATTGCCGCCATAATGCCGCCATAGTGCCGCGACAGTGCCGCCATAGTGCCGCCACAGTGCCGCCACAGTGCCATCAGGATACGGATATATGACCAATATTTCAGTATTTAGAGCTCTTCTCTGTATGCTCGAAACCTTAAAAATGAGATCATTGACTTATTTGCAGTTCAAAGTTTCCATGCTCACTTTTTTAGCCTGTTGTATAATAATGGCGACACCTGGTCATGGTCGTAATATATTGTAATAAGTTTCTTAAAACTTCCTAAATCCTAATGCTATGTATAATTGTTCGCTTAGCTCTTATGTTATGCTTTTATGTTGGCCACATTTTGAGGCCTGGTAAATATGTTATAAAAGACGTGCGTCAACTTCAGCAGTATGCACCCTAAAGAACATTACCAACTTCACAGTTCACTGTCCGTAGCCGTTAGAGTGAACACACAGCTGTCTGGTATGAGCTAATATTACCACGCTCCTTACCACGTATAAACACTCTTCACAGCTGCACTAACTTCACAGCAGAGTAGCCACATGTGCCCTATTAATGGTATCCATGTTCCATAACTTATATCAGTAAAAAGTAAGATCGATACGAGTTGTCACATACTGTTGCGTTTCTGATGTCAGATTCTCGAGTATTAGCTACGAATTCTTGATGTGAACCCTGACGGCTTGACTACCCAGAAGTCTCCGACGCAAAATTGTAGTTTAGGTGATATATAATGTAGGCTTTGACTTTCGGGCTGTTTTCAGATTGGAATGCAAATTTAGCACAACTTTTATTAACCATTCTCAGATTTGCCCCAATTCATCCTAGTCTAACTAGCGTCTTACTGTTTCGGTGACCTTGCGGATTTTTACTTTTATAGCAACTGAACATTCGACGACATCTGGAGTCACATATAATATAATACATAACTTTATGAACCTCTACTGAATATATTTTTGATATCAACAGATAAGCCCCAATACAATCATCATTATTAATTGACACGTGTCTCTGGGCCTCATCACTCCATCTCTAGGCCTCATCACTGATATTACTTAATCAGAACTACATCAGACCAGACTCCAGAGAATCTTCTGTTGCTTCAGAACATCCGATATTTGTTATATTATCTTATTATATATATTATCTTATCTACCTATATTATATATTATCTTAAATCTAGAATATTTTTGGTTATCTAGAAACAACTATTGATGCTGACGTTAATTTTTAGTTCAGTACAAAGCTTATTTAAAGAATTTTACTTTCCAGGAGTTATTAGACCTCAAACTTCAAATTACTTTGCTGAGTATTTTAATCATTGTAAAATATCTGCGGTGGGTAAAGCCTCTGAGTCTACCCTCTGCAGCTATGACAACACCCGATATGAATTTGTAGAGGAAGCCACTATTGGAGGTTGTAGCTATCAAGCTCCAGCAGCTCTCTTGGTGGCTGGGGAATGAATGCGATTTCCTTGAATGACAATGGCTAATTAAAAAAGGTGCCTCAAATTATTCATGAAGTCGCAAAGGACCTGCAATATAATAGTCATTAGTCGGACTGGCTGTAATGCCATCGTTATGACAATGTAATATGATAAGACAGACTCGTCTAAGTGATCATTTGCCTCGTTAACATACAGATTACAGGTGGGGCCAAAGTCAGTACCCATACGTTGGCCGTGATAGCTCAGTCACTGAGTGCCCAATTGAAATAATTCTTTCTGGTATGACTTACTACCACCACTGGTTCCAAATATTCGTGTTCAATTTTGCTAACGAGATAAACAAGTTGCTTGATAACTTCGTCATTTTAAATCCGTTTCGCACTATCTATTCAGATTATATTCAGGATTAAATTACCTATTGCAATATGTTACAACGGAGTCTCTAACATGTTCTCAAACACGAGTATAAGCAATTAAATGTTGATTGGATGTGGCCCCCAAAAATCTAATTTTCAAACTTTGGTGACGGAACCCTCGAACAAGTAGGTACAGTATGCCATCTGCAAAGCAACAACTGTCAAATATGAAACACGCCCCCCCCCCCTGTATTAATATTAATAAGGGGCATTACATTACAATAAGAGAACACAGTGAGTTCGTCTCACTTATCTGGTCACAGATAAGTAGCCAATTCAATCATTTTGACCACGACCTTTACAACATTAACCAACCTCTGTAATTCGTTTATTGACCAGGCTTCGATGTCATCCTGTTCTCAGGGCCTGGTCTATGTTTGGTTGCCTATACAATATATAATATATATAAATTCTTTGTTATTTTGTATTTATTCGTGATCATTGCGGATATTAAGTATTATTTGTGAAACTTAATATTTTTAAAATCAGACACATTTTCATTAGATACTCAAAACACTAGTTTGTTTTGTAGAGTAAATAGTGTTTCAACCTAGGGATCATTCAGTATTCACATATTATGTTACCCCGAATTTGGCCATTTTATATCTTCCTCTCTTATCAAGGAGTAAAACTTTTGTATCAAACATTTTTACATTGGACAATCAGCTAATTGGATAATTACCAATTAGTTAATCACCAAAAAAAGTGAAAATTTTTTATTGGCTCAAAATGATTGAAATCGTTTGAAACACGGAGAAATGTAGTTTTTAGAAAAACTTCAAAAATTTTTCACTTAAAATTTTTTTTCGAGACTTGAAAAAAAAGTTTGAAAATTTGAAAATATTTTTTTCCGCCAAAAGTGATCGAATTGCATGAAACGTGGATAAAAATGCCTTGCAGAAAAATTTCGAAGATTTTTAGATTGAGGAATACTAAAATCATCAATATTTGAAGTTAAAGTTCAGTAAATCTCGACATATTTTAGTAATTAGGAATAGCTTAGCGGAAAGGGCTGGACCTGAAAAAGGTTAACCACACAATATTAGAGTTTCGTAACTAATTACAATACAGCTTTATCAAATTCCACATAAAGAAACAGCACAAAAGGACCATTTAAGATCGAACCGATTTTACCTGCTGTACTATCATTTTATTGATTTCAATGATCAAAACCTCTGTCAATCTTGCCAATCTATACCGGGTATCTGAATGTACCGGACCTCTTATTTACCTCTATAATTAGACCCAGTTGTGCAAGAAATGCGATTTCTCACAGGGGTTTCTTTAAACTGTGCACTTTTTATCACTCTCGCAACTCGCAAGAGGCCTGGTATTATAGGGGGGGTATAGGAAGCGAGTGTAAATATACCTTCCATCATCCATTGTGGCTTTTTTGTATTGTGAATGCGCATGCCGCTTCGTTTGCTATGCCATATACCTCGAATAACCCCCATATGTCATTGCCAGGGTCTGGATAGAGCTGGAGATAGCATTGAAAAGTTGCTAGAAATAGCTAGATTTAGAGTAAACTGGTGGTAGCTGGGTGGTGCTAGCATGGATGTAGCAGAACGTAGCTACACGGGGTTTCATTGGAGTTGGTTATTTTAATGGCCAAAGAGTGCCGGAACTAAAGTTACTTAAGATTGCAGTTTAGGGGCAGTGTAAACCACGGTGTAGTCAGGGACACAGAGCTACAGTGCAGGAGTACTGCAATAGAACAGTGCAAGTGATACAGTCTGCAACAGTAAAACGCCGACGAAGCTAGACTTAGAGTGAACTGATGGAAGCTGGGTGGTGCTAAAATGGAGGTAGCAGAACGTACTACATGATGAAAACAGGAAAACTAAGGCTGGTTGAGACCTAAAAAGATGTGAATCTGTCCTGATAGATCCAGTGAAGAGCGAGTAGCGAAGAGTTTGATCACTAACCTAAAGCTCTAAACAAGAAGAGGGCTAAAGAGACTCACTTTGATCAATAAATCCGGTACGGCAAGGTCTGTAGCCTTGATAAGAAGATACCATGAAGTAATTCATGCAGAAAAGTCGATTTATATAAAGGGTTTCGTTGGATCTAAAAAGGGTGGGTCAGTCTCTCTGTTTTCATAAGATTCTGATGAAATGCTGTTAAGCTCAGGACGGTGATCTTAATAGGTCGGATAGCTGTATCTGGTTGCTTCCAGCCCACCCTTGTCGCTTGAAAATAAGTTCTCACCACACCTCTTCCAAAAATACAGTTACCAGAGCAGGAAACTCTTCTTCCTCCTCTTCTTTCAACACAAACACAATCAGGTTCCAGCTACTCTCCTCCTCTGCAGCCACAATCTTATCTCCTTCTTCGGAGTTTTACTGTTGCAGACTGTATCACTTGCACTGTTCTTTTGCAGTACTCCTGCACTGTAGCTCTGTGTCCCTGACTACACCGTGGTTTACACTGCCCCTAAACTGCAATCTTAAGTAACTTTAGTTCCGGCACTCTTTGGCCATTAAAATAACCAACTCCAATGAAACCCCGTGTAGCTACGTTCTGCTACATCCATGCTAGCACCACCCAGCTACCACCAGTTTACTCTAAATCTAGCTATTTCTAGCAACTTTTCAATGCTATCTCCAGCTCTATCCAGACCCTGGCAATGACATATGGGGGTTATTCGAGGTATATGGCATAGCAAACGAAGCGGCATGCGCATTCACAATACAAAAAAGCCACAATGGATGATGGAAGGTATATTTACACTCGCTTCCTATACCCCCCCTATAATACCAGGCCTCTTGCGAGTTGCGAGAGTGATAAAAAGTGCACAGTTTAAAGAAACCCCTGTGAGAAATCGCATTTCTTGCACAACTGGGTCTAATTATAGAGGTAAATAAGAGGTCCGGTACATTCAGATACCCGGTATAGATTGGCAAGATTGACAGAGGTTTTGATCATTGAAATCAATAAAATGATAGTACAGCAGGTAAAATCGGTTCGATCTTAAATGGTCCTTTTGTGCTGTTTCTTTATGTGGAATTTGATAAAGCTGTATTGAAATTAGTTATGAAACTCTAATATTGTGTGGTTAACCTTTTTCAGGTCCAGCCCTTTCCGCTAAGCTATTCCTAATTACTAAAATATGTCGAGATTTACTGAACTCCAACTTCAAATATTGATGATTTTAGTATTCCCCAATCTAAAAATCTTCGAAGTTTTTCTGCAAAGCATTTTTATCCACGTTTCATGCAATTCGATCACTTTTGGCGGAAAAAAATATTTTCAAATTTTCAAACTTTTTTTTCAAGTCTCGAAAAAAAATTTTAAGTGAAAAATTTTTGAAGTTTTTCTAAAAACTACATTTCTCCGTGTTTCAAACGATTTAAATCATTTTAAGCCAATAAAAAATTTTCACTTTTTTTGGTGATTAACTAATTGGTAATTATCCAATTAGCTGATTGTCCGATGTAAAAATTTTTGATACAAAAGTTTTACTCCTTGATAAAATAAACATTCTAGGTTAATTTGCAGCCTTCTATGATGTTCACAACTAAAGATATTTGGCAAACCAGAAAGGTGGTACAAAGGTGGTAAAAAGTGGTAAAAGTGGTGTTTCCGTTGAGATACAAAATTGGCAACAAGTCTAATTATGTTCGTAGGGGTCCTAACTACCATATTCCGTTGAGAAATCCTTGTGAACATTCGAATCCAACGGAATGCCACTTTTCCCCTTACTATCTGTTTTGATGTAAATATACGAATTATTTTGCCAATACGAATTATTATAATTTTCAAAATTTCGTCGAATTTTATAAATCCAAATTGCAATTATGATAGCCATTAGCCATGTCCGGTCCCGCAATTTAATTCTAAAATATCTGCTCTAAACTAAGCGGACTAAATCTGAATTATTTGCTGAAACATCTTAACATTTATCAACTCTCTACAGACAATGGAGAATACAGATGTCCCGTCAGTGGAAGGAGATTTAACTCTAGCTACTATCCTAACTCTCTGCATCACTATCAGTATACCCCTCAACCTAACAGCCATAGTGTACTTCTGGAAACAAAAGACTGGCAGGAAGAATGGCGTTTTCTTCAATCGACTGTACATGATGGTAGCTGGGACAGACAGTCTTATCTGCTTACTGCAGCTGCCAACAATTCATTCACTTTTCCATGGGAGACAGAGCAGAGCATGGCTCTTTGACAATCATTACTTTTGCATGTGCTGGGCTGCACTGAATGAGACCTCAGTTGTTTTGTCCATATTCTTAGTTGCTCTACTGAGCATATGTAGACTCATTCTGTTCAAGTATCCCAGTAAGCAACTTCCCCCTTACATGGCTTCGACTATACTTGCATGCTTCATTATACTTCACTGTGCAGTCATCCCCCCTTTATTTTCAATCAACTACCTGAATGCTAGACCAAGTGAAAGTGGCAATTTCATGTGTTACCTCTGTGGTAAATTTGAGACAACAACTGAGATGAACGAGACTTATATAGGAAAAGAGGACTTGGTAAGGTATTTGGTGGTACAAAGTGTGAGAGCATCTCTTGCAGGATTTCCATTTTTCCCTATACTCCTATCCTTCTGCATATCAATGATTCTTCTGAAGAGATCAAAACGTCGTGTTGGTACAACTGCATCGGTAAAAAGACAAGATAAGGCTTCAAGCACAATCATCCTTTTTACAAGTGTCTATGTTGTTTGCAATGTTCCTCTAACTATTTATGTGATTTACTTAACATCTTTAGTAGTAAATTTGGTTAGCAGAGCCAACAAAATTGAAACCAATAGAATAACGCTTTCTGAGTACGGGGCAACATTTTCTGGGTCTTACTTTGAAAGACATTACGTTTGGATTATTGGAATAAACTTGTCCACTGTGTTGAATAGCACGCTTAATCCTATCTTATACATATGGAGAATGAAAAACTTCAGAGAATTTTTGATGAGTAAAAGAACGACTTTTAGAAACTCTATATCTAGCAATTATACAGCTAAAGATACTGGCCCTGCTTCACTTAAAAATAATAGCCCCGCTTCAGTTAGAAATACTGGATTATAAAGCCATGGTTATTTTACGTGTTATGAATGTGTATATTTGTGAATCATACAATATTTACAAATGAAGTTTTCCTTGAAATTCTTAATCATAAAATATAAAACAGCAAAAAAAACAAGTTATAAAATGCTGATTGTACATCATACATTATTATTATTATACATGTATTCGAGTTCAAAGATTGATTTGTTGCTGATGCTAAAAAATACAAAATATTCTAAAGAAACGCCTACCTGCAACATGAGGTTCGATCATGAGAGCAGCCTGAGCAGCTACCTCAGGATCACTGACTCCCATTTGAAAAAATACTTTGTCACTTTCCTCAGATGTCGTTCGGAAACAAACTCCCCCATCTTCATCAAGAAAATCAACTGTTCCAAGGGTCTCGTTGATTACCTTAGTAGACTTCAATAAGCGATGTGCAATGACCTCTTCAGCATAAACTAAATCAGCTCCATAATGTAAGCATGTAAGTCTGAATGGCAAACCTCCTACCCGCACCATGGGTGATAAAATGTACTTCCCTGTAAACATCTGTCTTCTGAATGCTAAAATAAAGTACATTTACTAGTTTGTATATATACATATCTAGTACGACGAGTGTTTGCCCACCGGGGATCCAAAAATTTGATCACCATGAACATTACTTTGACACGTGAACTTATCAAACGACTGTAATGATTCCATTAAATTTTCTTAGTACATTTAGCTAGTTTATAGTAGATCCACACGATCGCAGAATAGAAGAGCACAATTGGGCTCTTTGTTCTGCGACCGTGTTCCCTCGGTGGGCCGACAGGTTTTTGTTGTGTAGTAGTGCTGGGGAAAAACACGCTTTAAATATCAATGAATGTAAATATTGTTAATTGACATTAGTGCCACAGTTTCTGTGGTAAAAACAAATTTATGGTTAAACATTATATTATATCGTAGAAGGGCATGATTTACGCACATCAGTAAGCATCTGGATGGATAATTAGCACACAAGAATAAACTGACCTTTAAACATGACCACCAGCAATATCATATAACCATAGCTCCGAAATAAATAAATTGCTCTACATAGAAACATCTGGCCTGATCTTATCACATTGTGGTCCCCAGGGGTTCGGTAAAGCCCTTACAGGCAACTGGGTCCTTTTACCAGCCACAATAAAACTAGTCATGCCAGTACTGTCATAAACTGTAACCAACTATTTAAAAATAAGATATCTTTTGCTAGAATTTTAAATTTTAAGCCATAGAGCAATCTTCTCAATTTTAAAATTTAAAAATAACATTTTACCCTAACTATGATGTGGTGGCATTTCATACTTAACTAAAATTCAACTTTGAAAGTCAATAGATTATTAGTCACATCAAAATTATAGTTTAAGACATCCATTATGCATTGTGTTTCCAATATTAGAATTTATGATATGTATTGATTGAATAATTGGTAATAAATTTAACTTTTGTTTTATTAAAAAAAAAAAAAACTTTTGTTTTATTAGTAATTGATTGATGCACCCTGAAATTGTCTACAATATTTATTGTAAACAAAGACCCTATTCAGATAAAATTAGAAATTTTATTAAATGAATCATTAAATGAGACTGCTGCAAGTGGATCATCATCATGTAGCATTAACAATTCAATGGAGAAATGTTGCGGAGGGAGGGGGGGGGGGGGGGGGGCAGCACATAGGTAAGTTCTGCCACTGGTTGCTAGCTAATTTGCCAATGCAAATGCAAGCAATTAAATGATGAAAGGATGTGTTCTTAAACAATCGAACTTGAAATTTTTGTGACAGAATCCTTGAATGAGTTGTTGAAATAAAATAAAATGAAACATGTGCATGAACAATGGCTAAGTTATAGTATAGTGTTACTAGGTGGCCTAGTGGTTAGAGCATCCGCCTTGTGTGTGTTCAGGGTTCGAATCCTAGTGTCACCTAGTCTAGGGAGTAGCTAAGGATTTATTGAATCTATGCGATCTCCTCGGTCGACTCAGCCGAATGATAGGAAACTTAATTGAGGGTTAAATGAGGAGGGGTACCTGTTGGAAGTTCAATAAACTTCCTAGGATACCCCTTCAGTGCATACTGTAAACATAGTACTATTAAAGTTACTATTAACTATTACTATCAACTATTAACTACTACTATTAACTATTACTATTAAATATTAATAATAACTATACTTTAATTAACATAGCCATTGTTCCTATAGCCATTGTTCATATAGTGTAAACTATGTTTACAGTAGTCTACAACTAACTTGTGGGCCTCTGTATAATACAGCCTAACAAGTTATCCACCAATTAATATAAGGGTAAATACCAGCTCCATTGTGTGGAGTGATCAAGCAAAGCAAACCACTCTTTCCCATGAACTAGAAAATTTACGATAGGCGCAGTCTGGCCGAATCAAATCAACCCCCCGAGAAGAGGTCAAATATAGGGAATATTATTATTTGGTGGTCGTTTTCCTTCATACTTAGCCTGAAGCTGTATTGCCTTAAGTACATGTTTCATAAAATCTTGCCACATGCAAATACGTAGCATAGGGTTAAAACACCAAAAAAACTCATGAGACATTCTTGTGAGTGATTATCGGATTTTGCTTTTGCGCTCGATTTTCACATTATGATCTAAATAGATGAAATATGCATGGCGCGATAAACATTTTAATTTCATTACACATTATTACTTTTTGTTCGTAACAAAACCAAAAATATACGAATAAATTATTTTCGATACAATCGGTTTTTATATTATGATCTACATGTTGTAAACTAATAACCTACTAAAATATGCATACAGTTATAAAAATCGTCGACGGGTCTTGAAATAAATATTGCACAATAATATTTAACGGGTGATACTCGTAAAATATTTGTTCCAATTATTAGGACTGTCGACGAGTCCAACTCGGTGCGCGTCCGATCCTGGTAGGTTATAAACCTACAAAAGGTGGAAACCCCCAACCCCGCGTAGCTGCATTTTGTTTTGATTTTAGTAGTTCCTAGTATTTATCCCTATTGTCTTAAAGTTTTAAGAAAACTCTCCCTAAATTATTTTAATGCAGTCACTCAGATAAGTTTTATATCGGGACACAACATAGACATATACTCTGCCCACAACAAGGGGCTATAATTGTTTCAATTATGTAATTAACGGGTGATACTCGTATAATATCTGTCCAACTCTGCGCGTGTCCTGGTAGGTTGTAAACCTACAATTATGTAACTGTATAAAGTTATTAATATTATTAATATGTAGCTGAGACACCTCACAGCAAGTAGACCAAAGTGGCTCTTGCTTGTGAAAGGTTTATCAACTATCCGCTGAAGCGGTGGGTTGGGAGTCCCCCCCCCCCCTTATTATTCAACCCTACATGGGACCAACAGGCAAAAGCTTTGGTTAATGGATGCGTGTAGGGACTGGATGCGTGTAGGGGCTGGAGTACGCTTATATATATATATAGATTAATGAAATGTTGTATTGTAAATATTTAGAATTGACGATATATTATGATATAATAATAAATTTTACAAAGCTGGCTTTGGATTTATAGGTAAGATTATAATTTATTTAAAAAACCACGCATAGTTTTAAATTTACTTCTATTTGTCGTACCCAGGAAACCTTACCGTTAGGGGCCTAACTTCGGAAGTAAAAGAGATTGTAGCGCGATGCACTACTGGGTCGCGCGCGCATCAAATAATGCTTCTCGCAACGGCAAGATGCGAAGGATTGACATCGTGAATCAATAAAAGAGATAGAAACGTTTGGTTTTCAACAAAATGTTCGCCTTGTAAAAATAACGTTTCCTCTCCAGGAGAAAAATTCAAAACAATGTAGATTTTGAATTATCGCGAAAAGTGATTATATTTTAGGCCTTATAAAACTGCACAGCTTCAACTTTGCGAATTCTTGATCTCTGATTGGCTGAATCGTATCACGTGGTACGTGGTACAATCAACAATTGCATTCTTGGAATAATTGAAGCGTGCAAATGCAATGAACTAACGAGCGCGCGCGGAGTTCAACAAGCTGTGAAGACAGAAGAGGCAATCACCCTGTAGTAATATCGCCAGCCGGTAAGGTTTGTTGGGATTGCCCAATACATTAAAATACACTCGCGCCGCGCATACAGTTACTACAGGCTTTAATATACATCACATCTCCGCAAGCAACCCTTGCGCGCCATGCGCGCGTCTAGTTGTTTAGTTGTCGTGGTAACGAACGGAACACGACATATTCAAACCTGCTTATCGCTATCTCCAATTAAATCCACGTTTTTTCTGCAAAAACGACCATTTGTAACCTTTCAGTTCTACTATTGTCTTTTTACAAAAGAGAGTGAACGGGGGAAAATCGTTTAGAAAATAGGAATAGAATAAAAATTGCTGCGCGCTGCGTTATCCATGTCAAGCTAAATATTCCGGCCAAAGCTTTCAAGTTAATAATGTTGTTCGGTCTTCGCGCCAAAATAGTATTCTGTATCGCGTGCTTCAGTTTGAGTTCTATTTTTATTCAAGCCAACGGTGGACGAAATATTTTACTACCTCTGAGGGCAGAGCTCCCGCTTCAATTCCGAGTTCGTGTTGCAAAGGGGAGGCCTACCTTCCGAGATCGCATTACAAGGGGAAGCCTCGAGTTCAAAATTGTGTATAGAGCTATAGGTAAACCAAAAACTTGACATACTATACGTTGCATGCCACTTTTGGATGCAATGATTAATCACTCTACACTTGACTGTCACGTGACTTTTTAAACACGTTCTCTCGGTGGCCCTGAATGACTATTCGAAATCATAGCCCTCTAATCTGATGCCAACCTTAACCCTAACCCAATCCCTAACAAAAGCATATGCTGAAACCCTAACCACTAACCCTAACGAGAAATTCGACCAACTTCCTTATACGGTCATATCACGTGATCAAGACAGTTTTTTGCAAATATCTCGGCAGGGGAGCATTTTAACCCTATGTCATGGGGGGTGATTCGGAATCAGCGGCCGAAAATACATCGATTCAAGCTGGTTTCAACTGTCGGGGGCCCTTTTAGAATAATCTCGAAGATCGACTGTAGAGTGATTTAGCACGCTCGGCCACTTTTCGCGCGCGCCAATATCTCTGATATTGGGATACGAAACATGTATCAACCGAAAACGCGCGGAGGTTTCACTGCTTTGTTACTCCATACAGGAAGGGACCCTTGAGAAACTGAACAAGTTAAAGAATTCCGGGCAGTCGATGAAATCAAGAAGAACCCAAAATACTTCTTTTCGTATGGCCGTATGCCAAGTGTCTTCAGAAGACCAGATCTACGATCCCGGTGTTGAGAGACGAGACAGGGGCATTATATTAGTGGATGACCCCAATATATTAGTGGATGACCCCAGTATCAAGGCCGAGTTACATCAGAAGCAGTACCAGAAGTTATTTAGTAACCCTATGAGTATGAGTGCTGATATTGATGAATGTATGAAGAGCCACGGATTACTTCAGGGACTGAATTCAGGATTCAATTTCAACGAGCTAAGCTTCATGTCACAAGAAAAGATATCA